TTATGCTGGACTTCCCACCTTTATTGAGTTGTGCTCTGCCTACACTCCGGAGCCTCCTGGCTCACCTCCTTCTAGAACATTCCTGCAGTCCTGAGGGCTCAGCTAGACCCTCCTTTCTGGCTGTCTAGGAATAGTGAAGGTCAGGGTTCAGGTAGGTACCTCGTGGCCGACTCAGGCACCAGCTCAGCAGTCTGGTCTTGTGGCCACGCTGAAGCCACAGAGGGGACAGACCCCCAGCCCTGCAGGGCGGGCCGGTGGCGAGACCCAGGGAGACTTTGTATTACAAAAGGTCTTTCCTCCTGGGAAGGCTGGAGCCGGGCTGGCTGCCTAAGAAGCTTCCAGTGAGCTGGATTTCCATGGAAATTAGTTTGCTGAGAGAGAAAGGAGCTATTTTAAGGACCAGCCAAGGAGATAAACCTGGAGGCTGGGGTTAGGGAAAGTCGCTGGGAGGCTCTTCTCAATGACTCACTCTTGAGAATGGAAGGAGACTGCGGACTGGCAGCGGAGGGTGCCCTGGGCTCTCCCTGACCCTGACAGCAGCCCCGAGAGGTGCCTGGCCGACCTGAGTTCGATTCCTCCACCCCTCTCAGAGAGCCCGGCAAGCTACCGAGAGTATTCGATATGCCAAACACAGTAACAACAAAGTCTCCAATGGAGACGTTACTGGGCCCGCTCGAGCAAATCGACGATCAACGGGAGGGCCTTTAAGCACATCCTTATCACAGCACCCTCCAGTTGGTGGAAGGATCTGCTAGAACCCTTGGTAGGAAGGATGGGCTTCTTCTTCTTTTTTTTTTTCTTTTTGGGTCACACCCAGCGATGCTCAGGGGTTCCTCCTGGCTCTGCACTCAGGAATTACTCCTGCGGTGCTCGGGGGACCACATGGGATGCTGGGAATCGAACCCGGGTAGGCCATGTGCAAGGCGAACACACCCTACCCGCTGCGCTATTACTCCAGCTCCGGATGGGCTTCTTAAAGGTGACAACGGACCATCCTGGGGGAAAGGGGAGGGGTCTATGGGGGGCATCCAGGAAGGTGAGGGGGACTCCCAGGAGGGAGTGTTTGCTAAAGAATTCACTTCCTGATGGGGACCTTAAAGAATAATCAAGACAGGCGAAGAACAGAAAAATGGGGAGGGGCCTTCCTGGCTCCCTGGAACCCCCTCCCCCACTGTGTTCCTAGGATGGGGAGCAGAGCAGGGAGGGGAGAGTGGGGAAGAGGCCAGGGAGAAAGGTGAGTGGGTGCAGACCTGAGCTCTCGCTCACAGGTCAGAGAGGGGAAACTTCCTTGACTGAAAGGGCAAGGGGACCTTCCAGGACCCCCAGACGGCCTTACGGACTTCCGTGGGAGCCAGCAGCATGGAAGCAGCATGCCCCTCCAGGGCATGGAGGGCCTGGTGGTTCTTTGGGGGTGGAGGTGGGACGGTCCAGCCCCTTGCACCCCCCCGCTCATAGACGGGCTGTTCTGCCTCGGTGCTGGCTGCAGGATACGGATGGACACTGCGGGCAGCTGACCTGCAGCATGTTTGAATGTCTCTACCCATTGTGCAGCCTGATGTCGGGTGTCAGTGCCTGGAGGACCCGTTAGGGGGTCCTTTTTTTGCTTTCTGGATCACGCCCAGCAATGCACAGGGGTTCCTCCTGGCGGTGCTCGGGGGACCATATGGGATGCTGGGAATCGAACCGGGGTCAGCCGCATGCAAGGCAAATGCCCTCCCCACTGTGCTATCGCTCTAGCCCCCTTTAGGGGGTCTTTATGCACCACTATGGAAGAGCAACGGTGAGTGGTCTGCCCTGTGGCCCAGCAGAACCAAGGCGAGGGGTTCTGACAGAGCAGCTGCTGCCAACCTCCGGACTGCGCCCACTGATCAGAATGCAGAAGCTGGGGGCCACCACAGGGAGTGATGCACAGGCTGGGGGTCTCTGGACCCTGGCAGGCGCCTTTCTCAGAGCGAGGAGCTGGGCTGGGAGCCACAGGGCAGAAGGGGCAGCGGTCAGTGTCTGCTGGTTCACAAGGACCCCGCTGGCCGGGTGATGCTGGGACTCCACATGCCTCTGCAGCCCATGGCCCGGCAGTGTCTGTGGCTAAAAGAGGCCTCAGAGATACCAGCGAGATGAGAAATGTCCCTTAGTGATCACGGGGACTGGAGCTGTGGGGACACGCACCCACTGGTCTATACTGTCAGCTTATCCTGTTTTTCTTTATGCTAATATTTTATTCATTCAAAACTCTTTATGAGAAAATGTAAGTATGACTTCCGATAGGAATGTTTTTTTTTTTTTCCTTTTGGGTCACGCCCGGCAATGCTCAGGGTTACTCCTGGCTCTGCACTCAGGAATTACTTCTGACGGTGCTCAGGGGACCCTATGGGATGCTGGGAATCGAACCTGGGTCAGCCACGTGCAAGGCAAACACCCTACCCGCTGTGCTACCGCTCCGGCCCTCCCTCCCCCACCCCATAGGAATGTTTTACCTGTACTTAGATTTGCAAGGAAACAGAGATTTTTCAAGTGAAGCAACCCTTTGTAAGCAAGAACTTTAATCCCAAGGATTCTCACAAAACACTGCAAATGACAGCATGAAAAAAAAAAACTTTCTCACAGCACAGTAACTTGAATTTACAGCCCTACACAATGTACCTTAAACTGGCCGGAGGCTGGTGTCTTGAATAGCCTTAACTTTCCAAATAAAGACAGCTATGATGACCTATGTAGCCGAAGTAGCATAACAAGCAGCTTAGAACCAAAGCTAACTAAAATTTTAGATTCTACATCAATGACCAGTGTGAACTAGTTCGAATTAAAAAGAGAGAGAGAGAGAGAGAGAGAGAGAGAGAGAGAGAGAGAGAGAGAGAGAGAGAACAAGTCTCTAGTTTATAGCGGTGTACCTTTCAAAGACCACTTGTTTAACCAACTATAGCTGTCCATCATTCCCCAGCTATAGTTAAGAAAAAGTTTTAGCGTTCAATTTTTGCAAATACTTCCCTGATGTACTTTCAGGCAGAAGTCAGATTTATTGTCAGTCTACACAAGACAAAATTCTAGCCACGGCAAATTCAGTTTTGCTTAAGGGTGATGATCTGTTTTAAACCACAGAGTTACAGCTTTAGGTGTCATGGTTCCAAGACACAAACAAGTGTGACCATCTAAAACATCTTAAAAATGCACCAAGAGAATACACCTGGGAAGACATCTAGTAGAAACGCCACCTGAATTTCTATGTTCGTTGCGGCACTATTCACAATAGCCAGAATCTGGAAAGAACCCTAGTTTCCTAGAACACAATACCGGATAAAGAAAAAATGGTATATCTACATAAATGGAATACTACGCAGCCGTTAAGAAAAAAAATAAAAGCCATGAAATTTGCTTATAATTGGATGGATATAAAGAGTACCATGCTGGATGAAATGAGTCAGAAGGAGAGAGACAGATATAGAATGACTGTATTCATTTGTGGGATATTAAAAAAAAATAGCATGAGGCTAATATCGAAGGCCATGGAAAACAGTGATCATGAGGACTAGTCAATGGTTGGAAGCTTGTCACAAGAGTGTGCGTGGGGCGAAGGGCAGTTCAGATAAGAAGGGACCAGTATGACAGTGGCAGTTGGAAATGATCATTTTTGGACAGGAACTGAGTGCTGAAAGTAAGTAAAGGGATATACCTCATAACCTTTCAGTATCTGTGCTGCACACCAAAAGGCCCAAAAGGAAGGAAGGAGGGAGACAGGGAGACAGACAGACAGACAGACAGACAGACAGAGAAGAAAAGAGTCTGCCATAGAGGAAGGTGGCAGGAGAGAAACTGGGGACATGGGTGGTGGGAAATGTACACTGTGAAGGGTTGGGTGTTGGAACATGAACTGAAACTCAATCATGAACAACTTTGTAACTGTGTATCTATCTGACTGTGATTCAACTGGAAAGAAATGCACCAAGCTTCTGAAGTCTCAAACAAAACCTCAATTTTCTGTACACGCTACTGTCCAATGAAGTGATTTCCCGCCCACCACTCTTCCTGTGACCAGTCTTGTATTTCCTTTCATTTGCTCTAGATCGGATGCGAGAAGGATCGAGATGGCTTGTGATCTCTCTCCCGAGACTGCGATCTCTCTCCTTCTGTCCCTACGAAAGGGCCCGCTCGGGCCGCGGGGGAAGCTTCTCTGTCTTGGAGCTAGTTTGGGGTTTTGACAAGCGAGAAACGGGCAGCTGAGTCTGCCGGACTGACGACCAGGAAGAAAGAACTTGCTGGAAAGGTTTGGCCAGACGTTGCACTGGATTCAGTCGGTTGGCGGAGGGAGTGTCGCGGATTTTTCCTGCTTCTGTGTTAGCCGAAGGCTGCCGCTGTAGTGGTGATGCCGTTTGGTGAAGAAACAGCTGAGATGTTTGGTTGACGAGGATGAGCTGATTTGGTTAAGGTCGGACAAGGCCAAGAGAACAGCAGAGCGGGGGGGCCTGTCGGGGCTGGCGCGGGCCGGTCACTACTGACCAGAGCTGACCTTCCTTCTTTCCAGGAGACGCTCAAAAGGACCCTGGAGCCCTGCAGCGCCCAGGCCAGGCTCACTGAACCCCAAGTCGCCACCAGGAGCCCAGCTCTGGGCCTGGGTCTTATTAATGCTTGGTTCCGAGCACCCGGGGAAGCCTGCTTATCCTGGGGGGTCGGGGGGGCTGGGAGGGTGTAGTTGACTGGAACATCAGCTATTGCATGTTTGCGGGAGCAACGGGAACGGCCCCAGACCAGCGAGTGCCTGGGGCTGTTATTATTATTAATATTATTATTATCACTATTATTATTATTATTATTATTATCACCATCATCAAGGTCTCTACCCGCGAAGGGGCACTGTAGTCCTCCAGACGGCAGCTGGAGCAAGGAGACACAGGCCAAGTTTACTGAGGGCCAGCAGGGACCACTGCGCGTCCTCTTCCGGACTCAGACCCAGGCTGGCCACCCAGGAAGCAGAGAGCAAGACCCAGCGGAGTGTCCCGAGGGGCTGGTGGGAGGATGTCAGGGCTCCTGTCTGCTGGCCGGTCTGGGCTTTCACTGCAGGACAAGAACAGAAAACAAAACAGTCACGGTCACCAGGTCAGACGGCGGCTCCCAGGAAGCCAGGCTCTCCTTAGGCGGCAGGGTCAGCTAATCTTCCCATACTAGGCGAGGAATGAGACAGACACATTTTACGTAAACTAACATAAACAACAGAACAGAGTCTACTCCTCCCCAGAAATCCATGTGGCAAGCGGCGCCCTCAATAGTAGTTCCCTTTCCCTGATGAGTAAACTGAGGCCCAGGAAGTGGGAGTCATGGGATTCAAACCTCCTGGCCCCAGAGTCTGTTCCTACCAAGGATTCATTTTGCTCAAAATCGAAAGGTAGAGGGTGTTGGGCTTCAAGCCTTTCCCAGACGGGGCGAGCTTTTATTGTTCTCGGCTTTGGCGCTGTATGCAGGGGTGCTCTGAGCGACAGTGCTCAGGTACCGGGACTGAACTTGGGTCAGCTGCATGCAACGCACAAGCTGGTCCCAGTACTATCTCTCCAGCCTGCGGGCAAGTTTTTGTTTCCAACCTGCTGTCCCACAGACACGCGAGACACCAAGGCACACACTCGCTTTCCCTCCAGGGCGTTGGAGTTTACCCCAGCCGCCCCGAAAGCCTGCCCAGGGAGCACGGGTCCGAGAGGTTCTTCAGCCTCAAGCCCTCCTGCCACTTCCTTTCTTGGAAGCGGCTGCCGAGATCCCACCTGCAAAATCTTATCACGCCAAAGGTTGTGTGTTCACGGGCTCACTGGATGGCTCTTTCTCACCGCCTGCGTTCGGTGCTCTTGAGCCCTGTGTGTGGCCTGGATCGGGACGGCCGTTCTTTCTCTCAAGCTTGAGCCCCTCTCGCTCTGACTCTCCCTTCCCTGAGCTCACAGTCTTAAGTTTATATAGCCATCACGTAAGGCGGTGACATAAAGGTGGATTGAATATTGACGAATCAACAAAGAGAGGTAAGACCACTCCTCCAGGAGATTAACTCAAGGATAAAATCTCATCTACAGAGATTACTCCAGATTACTAGGAGATCTGCTCAAGGGTGGGATCCCAACAAGGGTGTGTTCTTCCCTCAGTTAGTAATCTACTTAAATGGTTGTAATAAATCTACTTCTAATATTTCTAGCAATGTCATTCCGTATGAGCACAGTAAGAGATACAAATTTAGTTTGGTTCTTCCTGAGAACATCTCACTATACATTCCGCAGTCCTCAGGCCAGGTTAATCTTCCTAGCTCCAGCAGGGTCCTAGTCTCGTCGTTACTTTTGGATCATGACAGCATTTGTCCATGATCATGCCCTCAACTTATAGTTGAGTATCGTGGCGCTTTGGCCTGGCCCATTTCGATGCCAGGGTAGCTCACAGCTTGCCCTGGGTCCATTCAGTCCCTCGTCGGGACCCTGCTTTTGGGGTGCTAGGAACTAAGGGCAACTGAGTCAAGAAAGCAGATATTTACCAGGAGTAAATATTATTCGGAGTCAATCAGCTCCCAAGTTACAAAGCATAATATTAACTGTCTTCCTGTGTCCACACAGAAAGGACATCGCTTACAATACAAGTTCAGGGTCCTTAGATGGGTGTGACCTGACAAACCTAAGCTACCTGAGGAAGGACAAAAGAGTGTTATCTACACCCACCCACCCGTTTCTCAGGACCTGCTCTCACAAACACACTCCGGGCGCACACTCCAGTCCATGGGACCTGCACACACCTGCGCACGGTGTTGGTATCTCTCATACAGGCGCACCCCAGTACACGCCTGAGTTGCACGTGTACACACAACACACGTGAAAGCCAGGGTCATCTCTACAGTCCTGGGCTACATGGCGGCTGTACCACGTATAGACTCAGGCTTACTGGCACCCAAAGGCCTCCCGAGTATGGCGGTTCTCTCTCTCTCTCACACACACACTCTCTCACACACTCACACTCTCACACACATACTCTCTCACACGTGCACTTTCTCTCACACACACACTCACACATGCACTTTCTCACACACGAACTCACACCCACTCTCTCACACATACACCCTCACACACTCTCACATGCACTCTCTCACACACTCACTCACACTCTCACACACACTCTCATATGCACTCTCACACACACACTCTCACACATGCAGTCTCACACTCACACATAAACTCCCACACATGCACTCTCTCACACATACACATTCTCACACGCACGCTCTCATACACACTCTGTCACATACATACTCTCACACATGCACTCTCTCACACACATGCTCTCACACATGCACTTTCTCACACATGCCCTCTCACACCCACTCTTCCACCCACACTCTCTCACACACACTCTCGCACCCACACTCACATGCACTCTCTCTCGCATGCACTCTCATGCACACTCTCACACACATACATTCTCACACTCACACATAAACTCCTACACATGCACTCTCTCACACACCCACACATTCTCTCACACACGCAGTCTCTCACACGCACACTCTTGCACACAGTCTCTCTCACACACTCTCATACACAGCTCAGACTCTCTTCCACACACTCACACAGACTCTAACACACTCTTCTTGCACGAGGATTCTTTCACACGCGTGCATACACACGCACTTTCATGCACACATGTGCACTCGCAAACTCCAGTCCACTGCCACATGCCCCTGGCAGCAGTGACACAGACACTCGTGCCCAGGGCAGTGATGACTCGGACGCCCGTGCCCCAGCAGTGGTGACATGGACACTCGTGCTCTAAGCAGTGGTGACAGCCCCGTGCACTCCCGCCCCTGTGTTGGCTCCCGTGGTGGCTCACCGGCAGTGCTCTGCCGAGTGGCTCTTCGGGCCGGTGCTTGGTGTGATGTGGCAGCTCGGTGTTGTCGCGGTAGTCGCGGCCGTGTCCGTGCTGCAGGTGCAGGACCGCGGGGCTCTTGGCAGGCAGCGGGGGCCGCGGGCCGGAGCCGGGGGCTGTGGGCTGGCTCAGGTCCGACCGGGAGGGCTTGACGGGCCTCTTGGCGGGCACGGGAACCGGAGTCCCCGCGGGGCCCTTGGGCTTCCCGGGGCCCTTGTCGCCGCCCGCGGTGCCCGAGCAGGTGAAGGAGCGCACCCGGGGCGTGGGGCTGACGGCGAAGGGCCCCGAAGACGGCTTGCTGGTCCCCTTGGTGGCGTCGGGGTCCGGGGCCTTGGCGAGCAGGCTGCCGGGGTCCGGGCAGGACGGCGGCTCCTTGCGCACGGTTTTGGGGGACTCCTGCTCTTTCCTGGGGGCCGGCTTCGGGAAGGAGCTCACCGACCCGTACAGTGGGTTCTCGAACATCTCGGGCTTGGCCAGGGGGTCCTCTGGAGGCGGGGGGTCCCCCGGACTCTTCCCCACGCCGCTGGGCCTGGAGCAGGAAGGAACGACGGGGGACAGCGTCACGGGTGTGAGCAGGCCAAGTGCTGGGAGTGTGGCCGTCCCCTCGGGGCACGGCCTGAGGGCTTACTCCATGGGGGCACCCCAGGGGGCGCATGAGGGGGAAGGGGAATTGGGGGGGGTGAGGAGGGACTTGGCGCCGCCCACGTGGCAAGGGTGGGCTCCGCCGTTGCGGGCCAGCAAAGGTTCCACGGCGCCCCAATATTGGGCGAGTGCCTCAGTTGCCCTTCGAGCCCCCCACCCCCCGCAGGCTGCTAACGGATGCTCCCCCCGCCCCTCATTTTCTTTCCAGGAGAGCATCATTTCTCACTCTGAGGGGGAAGGATGGTTTGATCACCCCCTGCTATGTTGGGGGCCCACATGTGGCGCCAGGGATCAGCCCAGGGGGCGTCTCCCGCAAGGCAACAGCCCTAACCCCCGCAGTGCCAGGAAACAGGCTTCACTCAGCTCCGTGTGGGGACAATCTCCCGCGGTCTCCCCGCCCCCTCCCCCCAAGCACCGTCCTCAGAGGCCATGGACCTGAGTCGGGGGGACACTGCTGGCGGGCACGGCTCACCTGCCCTCCTGCGTCCTGGAGCCGGGCCCCCGGCCCGCGGCGGGGATCTTCTTGGGGGAGATCGGGGGCTGGCAGGGCGGGGTGGGGGGGGCCGTCTCCATGTCCAGGCCCCAGCGGAGGGTCCCTGAGCAGCGGCTCGTAGCTCCAGGCCGTGGGCTGGTGGTCGGGGGACAGGGACGGCTTCAGGTGCCCGTGGGGCGCCACCCCCATGTAGTTGGGGTTGAGGATCTCCGTGAGGGAAGCACCCCCGCCCGGAGGGGCCCTGCAGGGAAGCAGCAGTCACGCCCGAGTCCCCGGACGCCCTTAGGGCCCGGGGGTCCCCGGACTCTCCCCAGCTCCACTTCCTGGGCACTGAGATGACTCCTCGCTCCCTCATTCATTCATTCATTCATTCATTCATTTTTCATTCCCTCCCTCCCCATTCACTCATTCCCTCATTCCCTCATTCATTCCCTCCCTCCCTCCTTCACTTCCTGCTTCCCTCTCCTTCATTCACTCACTCATTCACTTCTTCCCTCCCTCATTCATTCATTCCCTCCCTCCCTCATTCATTCACTCCTTCCCTCATTACTTCACTCACTCTCTCCCTCATTCATTCCTTCCCCCCTAACTCACTCATTCACTCCCTCCCTCCCTCATTCATTCACTTCCTCCCTCACTCATTCACTCCTTCTCTCATTAATTCACTGACTCAATCTCCCCCTCATTCATTCATTCCTTCCCTTTTTCATTCACCTCCTGCCTCCTTCATTCATTCACTCTCTCCATCACTCATTCAGTCCCTCCCTCCATCATTCATTCACTCCCTCCCTCACTCATTCACTCCTTCCCTCATTAATTCACTGACTCTCTCCCTCCTTCATTCATTCCTTCCCTCCTTCACTCCCTCCCTCCTTCATTCACTCATTCACTCTCTCCATCATTCACTCCCTCCCTCCCTCATTCACTCCTTCCCTCATTAATTCACTAACTCTCTCCCTCCTTCATTCATTCCCTCCCTCCTTCATTCACTCCCTCCCTCCTTCATTCACTCCCTCCCTCCTTCATTCATTCCCTCCCTCCTTCATTCATTCCCTCCCTCCCTCATTCATTCACTCCTTCCCTCATTACTTCACTCACTCTCTCCCTCATTCATTCATTCCTTCCCTCCTTAACTCACTCATTCACTCCCTCCCTCCCTCATTCACTTCCTCCCTCACTCATTCACTCCTTCTCTCATTAATTCACTGACTCAATCTCTCCCTCATTCATTCATTCCTTCCCTCTTTCATTCACCTCCTGCCTTCTTCATTCACTCTCTCCATCACTCATTCAGTCCCTCCCTCCCTCACTCATTCACTCCTTCCCTCATTAATTCACTAACTCTCTCCCTCCTTCATTCATTCCTTCCCTCCTTCATTCACTCATTCACTCCCTCCCTCAGAGGTTGGAGACCACCCCTCGCTGGCCTGGGTTTAGTCTAGAACAGACACAGCACCTGCTCAGACGCTGCTCGGAGCTGAGCTCAAACTCAGCCCAGCTGAGGAGCTCACCAGTGACGAAGGCCTCCGGTCACAGCCGGACCTCCCTCACAGCAGCGGCCTTCTGTCAGACAGGCTGACCTCCCTCACGGCCACGGCCACCCTCCACCGGCCACACCGACCTCTCTCACGGCTCCGCCGGCCTTCCCTCACAGCCGCACCCCGAGCCCCCGCGGGGCCCACCAGCCCAGCCCCCTGACTGGATTCCTGTCCCCCCACTCCCCGCCGTCCTGGCCCCGAGCCTCGTGTCCCCTGTCTGGGCCCCTGCTCAGTCCCGCCACGCTGGTTGGGACCGAAGCGCAGAAGCCGCCCAACCTGCCGACAGGGTCCCACTGCTTCACGGGGTCGTGGCTGCTGAAGCTTCTCAGGGCCTTGGAGCCGCCGGCCTCGTCCCGCTCCGTCTTCACGAAGTCTGCGGGGAGAGGCCGGAAGCCGTGAGCACCAGAGCCACCGACGGCTACTAATTTTTGTCTGTTTTTTTTTTTTGAGAGGGGGCACATCTGACAGTGCTCAGGGGTCACTCCCGGTGGGGCTCAGCGGACCCTGTGTGGTGCTGGGGATCGAACCCGGGTCAGCCGCGTGCAAGACAAGCGCCCTCCCCGCGGTGCTGTCCCTCCAACCTCACGGTGCTCTTTAGGGGGATGGTGGGGACAAGGGGAGGGAAGGCCACAGGCAGGCGGCCGGGTAGGGTAGTGGGTATGGAGGGGCGGGGTTTCAGGAGGAGCAGGGACATGGGGTGGGGGTGCTATGAGGAGGAGGAAGGGGCTCCCATGTAGCCCGGGGGCCGTCCAGCATCAGGCCCGTCCCATGGAGGAGTCAAGTGACGGAGCCAAAGGGCGTGCGAGCACTGAGCACGGGGCACTCCTGGCCAGGGCAGTTCTGTCCTGGAGGCCCCGCAGAGAGGGCAGCTGGCTACGGGGAGGGTTTCCCTCGTGCCCCCGCCCCAGGAAGGCCGCGCCGGGCCCCCTTACTTACCATAGAGCTTCTCCCTCTTCTTGCCCTGGGACGTCTGCAGCTTGATCTCCCCCCGGAAGTGGCCCGTCATCTCGCCGTGGTGGGTGAGGGGCGTGTGGATGGGGAGGGGAGTTTCCGTGGCCTCCAGCCGCAGGGCGATGCAGCCCTCACCTGGGGCGGGGAGGGAGGGGGACAGGGGACAGTCACATGGAGACCGCGAAGCTTCCCGGCTGCCCACGGCAGGCCCACAGCAGGCCGGGATGGAGGAACAGCGCCCAGGCCTCTGCAGGGGAAAAGACGCCACGTGTGTGACACTTCACAGAAAATCACAGGAAGTGCAGCCGAGACCTGCACTCAGCGCTGATCCGCCCGCTGGGGGGAACGGTGCAAATGCAGATGCAGTGTCCGCGCTAAGAGACCGGAGCTGGGGCTGGAGCGACAGCACAGCGGGGAGGGTGTTTGCTTTGCACGCAGCCGACAAGGGTTCGATTCCCAGCATCCCATAGGGTCCCCTGAGCACCGCCAGGAGTCATTCCTGAGCACAAAGCCAGGAGTAACCCCCGAGCATCGCCGGGTGTGACCCAAAAAGCAAAAAAAAAAAAAAAAAAAAAAAAAAAGAAACTGTGGCTGGACAGAGCACAGCGGCAAAGGCCCTGAGTGCAGCCAGCACTGAGCGCCTCACCCCCCTGCCCCTGCAGGCGCCCTCCCTGGCCCCGGCCCACACCTCCCGCCCCCAACAGGCCAGCCCCAGCCACGGAGACTGGAACAACCGGGCTCCCTCCAGCCCCATTCCCGGGGGGGGGTGTCCTTTCTCCACACCTCTCAGGGGATCGCGGCCCCCCACGGGTGACTCTGTACCTGCTCCTGCCACCCCACCCTGCGCCTGTGACCCCGACCTGTCAGGCCGCAGGAGACACAGGAGGCGCTGACCGGGGGCCTCACGGCGCTGGGCATGGAGCAATGCAGGGCGGAGCGGGGGTGAGGTCAGGACCCAGCCACTTGGCTCCTATGCGGCCAGGGCCAGGGACTTTCCCTCTCTGTGCTCGGCTCAAGCCTCTGCTGGCCAGAGAACAGTGGCCAAGTTCAAAAGTCCTGTTGGGAGTCAGGGATCTAAACTTGCAGAGCAATGGGCACGGAGCCCATAGAGCACTGTGAATGGAGTCCCACAGAGCACTGGGCATGGGCCCCCACAGGGCACTGGACAAGGAGCCCACAGAGCACTGGACATGGAGTCCCAAAGAGCAATGGGCACTGAGTCCCACAGAGCACTGGGCATGGAGATCCATGGAGCACTGGGAACAGAGCCCCACAGATATCTGAGCACAGAGTCCCACATGGAGGCCGCCAGCTGCACGTCCCAGCAGCCCACTAAGGCAGCAGTGATGGGGGTCCCAGGCCCCTCACCGTAGGACTCGTCACTGTCGGAGGACTTGATGCTGATGAGGATGTGCTGGTCCAACAGGTACTCGGGGTCGGAGATGATGGGCGTCAGCTGCAGAGAGGGGGCCAGGCCTCAGGGAGGGGGAGGGAAGGTGACCGGCCCCAGGTGGCCCTACTGGATGGGGGGGTCCTTTCCTGTGGCCCCACCACACGGCACCCCAGGCCGCAAAGGGGTCCAGGTCTTGGGAGCCCCAGGAACGGGGTCCCAGGGGAGCCCACCCCCGGGTGTCCAGCAGCCTTGAGGGAGGCCGGAAGCCCAGAGGGAAGACGGGGTGTCGCCCTGCTAGCCCAGAGACCCCCCCCTTAGGGTCACTCCTGCCAGACTGTCCCCGTGGCCCCGTGGGCCCATTTGTAACTGCAGTGGGAAAGCGGGCAGCGCCGACCCCAGCCCCACGCAGCCCCCATGCTGTGGTGCAGATGGAAGTCGGGGGAGGGGTTCCCTCCAGGAACTGCAACGGGGGGGGGGGGGCTACCTTGGGCAGCGTCTCGCTGAAGCGGACCACCAGCTCGCCCTCGCTGCCCTCTTCATTCTCTCCTTCCTGGCTCTTGACAAAGCCTGTGGGGACACAGGGGGTTGTCCACCACACGGACGCAGGCGGGAGGGAGAGGGGAGGCTCGTGGGGACCCCCCTGGCACCCCCCGCCAGGCGTCAGCTGGGAGACGGCTCTGTCTGCGTGTCTGTGGAACCAGCCACCACCCCCCAGCACCTCCCCCCCGCACACACACACACACACACACACACACACACACACACACACCCGTCTAGCTCCTCTCCGCGCATCTGCCGGGGACGAAGTGGCCCGACAGACCCCCTGTCACCCAGGCCTGTGAAAGGCTCTGAGGGTTCCAGGACCGTTTCCATAGAAACGGAGGCACCAGTCTCAGGAGCTCCTGGAAAAGTCAGAATCTTTCCTCCTTTGAAGGGCTTAGTGTCTGCTCAATTTACCAACTGCCCATCATCTGGGCTGAGTGATAGCACAGCGGGGAAGGCGTTTGCCTTGCACACGGCCAGCCGACCCGGCCGACCCAGGTTTGATTCCTCTGCCCCTCTCGGAGAGCCCGGCAAGCTACCGAGAGTATCTCGCCCGCGCGGCAAGGCCTGGCAAGCTCCCCGTGACGTATTCGCTATGCCAAACACAGTAACATCTCACAATGTTACTGGGCCCGCTCGAGCAAATCGATGAACAACGGGAGGACAGTGACAGGACAATGACAGTGTCTGCTCTGGGGAGGGCAGTTGGGTCTCCAAGACTGAGCCTGGCCCAGTGTGTGTGTGCATGTGTGCATATGCAAGTTGTGTGTGTGTGTGTATGTGTGTGCATGTCCATGTCTGCTCCCCGAGGCTGCTTGGGAGACGAAGGACCCCACAGTGACTGGTTCCTTCTGCCCTCCGGAGGGTCCTGGGGCACTGCTGAGTGGGCCGCCCGGCCCCGCGGGCTCTGAGGGTCCCTCCCTGCCCCGCCACGGCTCACGCACTCTCCAGGCAGCTCGAGTGGAACTCCAGGTAGAACTTGGTCTGGGACTTGGTCTTGAGGGTGGCGAAGCACCTGAGGAACTCGATCTGGCCCTGGCTGTCGGCCGTCCCGGGGTCTGCGGCCAGGGAGGGGGACAGGGAGAGGGACAAGGACTCAGGCAGGCCCAGAGGCGTTTCAGTCAGCCCCCCCACCAGCTCCCCTTCAGGGTGCGGGGGAGGGGAGAACCTAGGTGGGAGGGGGCGTCCCTAGACATCATTCCCCCATCCCCACACACAGATGGTCCCCAGTGAATCACACAGTGGACAGGGCTCAGCTGCTGGCCTGCAGCCTCTGCCTCAGTCTCCCCAGATCTCAGCGGGGAGACTTCTACTGGGCTCAGAGGCTGGGAGGGACGCCTGCCCCGGGCCCCTGGTACGGGCTTTCCCAGACGCTCTGTGAAGGGGACTCGGAGCAGGTCTTGGTCCCTCCACGTGCACGTGGGGTGACCTGAGCACAGGGACGCCCCTCTCCTTCCCTGCCCTCCCTGCGTGCCTTTCTCCTTAGCCCAGGAGCAGCTGCACCCAAGCGCGAGTGTGTGCTGGTCCCTGCGCTCACCCTCACCGGAGGCTCGACAGAAGCAGGAAGAAACGCAAGTAGGAAGTGCAGCAGGAAGAGGAAAGATTCCACGGCCAGAATTCACACTCGGAAACTAAAGAATCCTTCCTTTCTTTCCACCTTCCCTCCTTCCCTCTCTGCCTCCCTTCTCTCCCTCCTTCCTTCCTTCTCTCCCTCATTCCTTTCTTTCTTCCTTCTCTTCCTCCCACCTTCCTTCTTTCCTCCCTCCCTCCCTCCCTCCCTCCCTTCCTTCCTTCCTTCCTGGAGTTCATCATCTTCCTTCCTTCCTTCCTTCCTTCCTTCCTTCCTTCCTTCCTTCCTGGAGTTCATCATCCTTCCTTCCTTCCTTCCTTCCTTCCTTCCCTCCCTCCCTCCTTCCCTCCCTCCCTCCTTCCCTCCTTCCCTCCCTCCCTCCTTCCTTCCTTCCTTGGAGTTCATCATCTTCCTTCCTTCCTTCCTTCCTTCCTTCCTTCCTTCCTTCCTTCCTTCCTTCCCTCCTCCCTTCTCATCTTCCCATCTTCCCTCCCTCCTTCCTTCTTCCCTCCCCCCCAGTCCCAAGGTCAGTCTTGGGTTCAAGGCATGTCTGCCCAATGCTCAATCCAGGCAGGCAGGTGTGCGAGCACCCAGGGGACACGTCCCCCATGCTCCATGAGGGGTGAGGCACACGCTGAGTCTGCCGCGTGGCTCTGCCTGGTGGAAGCAGCCTCTCCCCCCCCCCGCCCCCGCCCCAGGCCCCTGAAGCTGACAGTGGCCAAGGTCCGGGCCATGTCCACTTCGACCTACCATTCTTGGACACAAACTGGGAGGTGACTCCGGCCTCGAAGGTGGCAAACACGGGGCTGTGGTCGCTGGTCATGATGTCAGTGGTGCAGCCTACGGGGAGGGCAGGACAGTCTCAGCAGACCCCAGGCGGGGGCCAGGCACTGTGTCTTGCTGCGCGCTGACCTGACCGGCAGCTGCAATGTCCGAAGCACCAGCCCCCGTGGCAACAGGGCCAGCGATCACTTCTCCTGAAAACTTCACTTTTTTAAATGGGTGAAGGTGTGATTTGGGGCGGGGTGGGGTCTGAGCCCTTAATCGCTGCACAGCCGGGGTGGCAAGTAAAACACCCCTCCTCTCACCAGCCCGGGATGCGGAAAAATACCCCAGAAAAATTCAGATCAGGCGGCTGGAGTGATAGCACAGCGGGGAGGGCGTTTCTCTTGTGTGCGGCCAACCCAGGTTCGATCCCCGATCTCCGACATCCCATAGGATCTCCTGAGCACCTCCAGGAATAATTCCTAAGTGCAGAGCCAGAGGAACCTCTGTGCATTGCCGGGTGTGACCCAAAAAGCAAAAAGAAAAAAAAAAAAGAAAAAAAAATTCAGATCAGGGGTCAGGGTCAGGTGCTAGACCCCACGTTGGATCTGAGCAGACCCCTAAGCCCTGCCAGGAGGGATCCCTAAGCACAGAGCCGGGAGGAAGCCCTGAGCACTGCTAGGTGTGCCCCCAAAACAAAAAAAAAAATCCCAAATAATTAAAAGCAGTAATTCCCAGTCTCAGGCAGGTCAGCCGTGCTCCTTGGGGACATTTCCCAGCCATCCTTCATTGACTGCAGTAACTAAAACAAATAAATAAATAAATAAATAAATAAAGGAGCTATTTTTTTTTCAGGTGTGTACTGGAAAATGAACACAGGGATTCATACATGTAAGGCGTGTGTGTCCATGGATGTGTGTCTGTGTGTGTCCACCTAAGGACGCACACATGCAGGAAGGCACCAGAGCTACATATCTGGTCCCAATGTGCAGTTCTTTTGTTTTTTTGTTGTTTTTTTTTTAAATTATATCTTTGAAACGAAGTCAAAGCAAATGTCACAGAAATAACTGACTCCTGAATGTTTAAGATAAGCAGAAGTCACGCTTCAATGCTTCTTAAAAAACTATTATTTATTTATTTTTTTAAAAAGGTATTATAGTTTACAATAGTGTTGAAATAACTGCTTTGTGCTCGCCGTGTTCCTACACCTGCACTGATGTGACAATTTTTCCATCAGTGTCTCCTGGGCCCCTTTCACCCTCCCACCCACCTCCTTGGGCTTCTCAATTCCCAGTTCCACTGATCATAACTCGGAATTTGTTTCAATTTGGGATTGTTTGATCGCTTTTATTCATTTCTGGGTTTTTTTTTTTGGGGGGGGGTCACACCCGGCGATGCTCAGGGGTAACTCCTGGCTCTGCACTCAGGAATCACTCACTCCTGGCGGTGCTCGGGGGACCATATAGGATGCCAGGGATCAAACCTGGGTCAGTCGCGTGCAAGGTGTGTGCTGTCACTCTGGTCCCCCAATATGTAGTTTTTAAGAAGCGTTGAAGCCATGATTTCCGTTTGTCATAAACTCCCAGGAACCAATTACTTCTCGACGCTTTGTTATCCTCTCAGTACTACACAGTGCCTTTCCCCAGGCCGCAACCCTGCAGTGACACCCCCCTCTCCGCCACTCACCGTAGGACTGACACAGCACGTGCACCCGCGGGTAGGACTTCCAGAGGACACGGTCACACCACGAGGGCAGGTTGTACTTCATCTGAAAGCCAAGGGCACGCACCACCACTCAGGTCTCAGCAAGAGGGAAGGGGGACACTGTTGCTGCGGGGCTAAGAGGACCCCCCGGACCCAGACCTGGGGGCTGCCGAGCTTTATTTATTTATTTATTTATGCTTTTTTGGGGCTGGAGCGATAGCACAGCGGTAGAGCGTTTGCCTTGCGGGCAGCCAGACCGGCCAAGCCGGGTTCGATTCCTCCGCCCCTCTTGGAGAGCCCAACAAGCTACCAAGAGTATCTCATCTGCACAGCAAAAGCCTGGCAAGATACCTGTGATGTACTCAATATGCCAAACACAGTGACAAGTCAAAATGAAGACATTACTGGGCCCGCTTGAGCAAATCGATGAACAACGGGAGGACAGTAGCAGTTAGTAGTCATGCTTTTTGGGTCACACCGGCGATGCACAGGAGTTACTCCTGACTTCGCACTCAGGAATGATTCCTGGCGGTGCTCAGGGGGCCACATGGGATGCTGGGAATCGAACCTGGGTTGGCCGCGTACTATCACTGTACTATCGCTTCAGCCCCAGGTGCCGAGCTTTAAACGGCCTCAAGTTCCAGCTGGGCTGCCTGACAGTGGGGCCACGCACTCATTCCTGCCCTTTCTGGCTCACGAAAGTCACCTAAACCTGCCACCTTCCACCCCGTCCAACTGTCTTCAGAGGATTTTTTTGGGGGGGGTCACACCCAAGAGTCAGGGGTTACTCCTGGCTCTGCACTCAGGAATTATTACTCCTGGCGGTGCTCGGGGGACCATATGGGATGCTGGGAATCGAACCCAGGTTCGCCACGTCCAAGGCAAACTCCCTACCCGCTGTGCTATCGCTCCATTCACCCATTCACTTATCACCTACCCACTTACCCGCACGTCCACCCAATCATCCAAATACCGTGTACTGGGGCAGCCCTGGCCAGGGCCGAGAGGTCCATGGGGGGCCAGAGAGACAGGATGGGGGGAGAGACTGGCCTTGTTTGTGGTCACGGCCGGTTTGATCGTTGGTCCCCCATTAGGTTCCCCTGGGGTGTTCTCTGGGGAGCACCACTAGGAGTGACCCCTGAGCACGTCCGGGTGTGGCCTCCCCCAGAAAGAGTGGAAATAAAAGAGCTGTCCTCTGGGCGTTCTTGGCTCTGCATGCCGGCTCTCTCCCTGTCTGTCTGGGCCACCCACCACCCAGCAGCCCAGCCTGGAATCCCAGCCACTCTCCATGCGACACCCCCTTCTGTCACACGTCACTCTCACTGGACTCTTCTAGACACTTCTAGTCACTTCTGGACTCTTCTAGAAACTCAGCCCATGACCTCTGGGAAGCGGTTCTGGTGCCAAATCACACGGGACCCAACTCTGGCCCTGTACCTACCGCGGGGTCGCGGGCCTGGCCCCTGTGGCCCCTGCAGGAAGCAGCCCCGTCCCTCCCTGCTCGGCGTCCAGATACCCATCACCCTGGTGGCTGTCGGGGGAGTGGGGGGGCTCACCCCAGTGGCTTTCTGCTTCGTGTAGGCGTACTTGTCCCGGGTCATGCGCTCGAAGCGGTAGGTGGGTGCGAAGGTGATCTCCTCCTCCTCTGGAAACACGGGGGTTGGTACCCGGACTCCGCCCCGTTTCTCTTGGGCACCACCCCAGGGTCTGGCTGAGCGCTGCCTCCCCGGCACCCCCACCCTGGGGTCTGTGGGATCCCCTGCCCCGTGCCCGTCACGGCCGCCTCTCACCGAAGTGCAGAAAGACCTTCTGCTCTCGCCGCTCCTGCAGGAGCTGGTCATGGGCCAGCAGGTCCGAGAACTGCTGCTGCCGGATCTTCTGGACGATGCTCTCGGCCTCCTGCGGACGCAGCCCCCGCAGCGCCCTCAGTGGGGCACCACTCCCCCCGGACTCCCGAGCACCCCAGGGCTCGCTAAGGAAAACCACCCAGGGCGGGACTGTGTGTATGTGGGGGGAGGGGGGACGCCCACTCTATGTACCAGCCCAAGGGCCCGTGTTCAAGCCCCCATTCCCAATGTGGGTGATGCTGAGTCCCCAATTCCCGCCAGGGGGTGCTGGGGTGATGCAGGCGGGTGGTGGGGCCCCGGGAGCCTTCTGCTTGCTCCCCTAAAGAAGGCAGACTACCGAGGGACACTGATTTTTTTTTTTTCTGTCTGTGGTGGGCAAGGGCTCCCATCTCTCTGGGGCCGACACTGTTGTCAGAACCAGAGCCAGCCACCCCGGTGTCCACACCTGTGGGCCTGGGCATACTGAGGACTGGGGGACCTTCTCCCACCCAGGAGACCCTGAATCAGGGCTGGTTGGGAGGTCAGGGCTCCAGGGACCCTGAGTGCCCGCTGGGTCTCAGCGGAGCCCAGCGGTGGCCGAGAGGGACTTCCGGGACCACGAGTGTAGAGTTGGGGACCACGGCTGCTCCCTGGGTCCCTCCTCAGGCCGCCTGCGCCCCTCCAGCAAGTTGGTCTGTTTCTGTCCACACAGGCCCTTGACAGGATGTGGGCACAGGCCTGCCCTGTCTGCCAGGGGCCCCGAACACAGCTACATCCTTCGGTCCCACCTCCCTCTCAGCCCCGTCTGAGGCCCTCGGAGTTCAGCAGCATCGCTGTCAGGGAGGACGCCCAGCAGCGGGCTGGGGTGCGGGCACAGGGTGAGCCGGGTCTGGCGTCCCTGTGTCCCGCTGCCCTGAGCGAGATCGGGGTGCCCGGGCCCCGCCCCCAGCAGCCCTTACCCAGGTGGGCAGGTCCACGCGGTAGTTGAGGTCTCCGAGCCAGAAGAGGTGCGTGAAGCGGTGCGTGATGTTGAAGGGGCTCAGCTTCTTGTCACCCAGCGTCAGGAAGCGCAGGATGTTCATGTAGTTCTGGTTCCGCCTGGCGCACGGACAGGCCCTTAGCCCGGGGCCTCGACCACGGGGGCCGTGAGGAGGAACAGGGGAGAACGGGCGGGCAGGCAGGCACCCCTCGGCTCAGCAGGGGCGCGGAGGGGGCAACGTTTTAACTGGCTGCTTGCAGGAAAGGCAGGAGCGCTTAGCCCTGGGGTGCTCAGGGGGGCTTAGATCTGGGCATCCAGGTGGGCTTAGGTATGGGGTGCCCAAAGGGGCTTAACTCTGGGAGCCCAGGGGGATTTAGACCTGGGGCGCCCAGAGGGGTTTTATATCTGGGGTGCCCAAGGGGCTTAGATCTGGGCGCCCAGGGGGGCTTAGATCTGGGCATCCAGGAGGGCTTAGGTATGGGGTACCCAAGAGGGCTTAAATCTGGGAGCCCAGGGGGGCTTGGATCTGGGCACCCAGGGGGGCTTAGATCTGGGAGCACGAGGCGGGGCTTAGATCTGGTGTGCTCAGGGGAGCTTAGTTCTGGGGTTCCCAGGGTGTCTTAGATCTGGGGTGCCCAGGAGGACTTAGGTCTGAGTGCCCAGGGGGCTTAGATCTGGGCACTCAAGGGGGCTTCCCTGGAGGGTGGGCGTGGGAACTGCCAGGTCTCTGTAGCGCTCCGAGGCATCCTTTGGCCCCGCCCACCCCATGCCCCGCACTGCAACCCCGCAAACTTTCCTGAGACCAGGGGCGTGCTGAGGGAGGGCCCGTGGCGGGGAGATCACCCCACGCACCCCCAGCCCCGTTACCTGAGCTTCTTCTCGCTGCCCGAGGTCAAGTGACTGTTCACGAAGCCCAGCGAGGTCCCGTTGAACATGAACGACACCCCTACGGCCCCCTTGTTTCCTAAGCGGGAAGGGAGAAGCAAGGGTGTGGGACGGAGAGGGACAGGGCCGGGGCGGGGCCGGGGCAGACAGGGCAGAAAGAGGCTGCCCCCCTGCCCCCACCCACCCCCTGTGATCACGGTTTATTGCCACCTCCCGGCTGGGTCCATCACAAACACCCGTTCGCGCCCTGCCTCCTGCCCTGAGCCGCACTGTCCCATGACCGAGAGTCTGGCAGGCAGTGAGGCTGTGCTGACCCCCAGGGGCTGGCCCGGGCATCACTGTCCCACCTGATGCCTGCCAAGTCACAACTGTATTTTGACCAGAGCCTTAGAAGTGCCAGCATGGACCCCAAGGCAGAGGCCGGGAATCCTGCCTGCAGCTGTCATTGGATTCTCCTGTTTGAGCTGGGGCAGTCCCTGGGGTGCTCGCAGGTGTCTGCGGGGGGGGCGGGGGGGGGGGGCAGGGGCTGCTCACCCAGGGTGTTGGCGATCCCGGTCTTCACAGTGTCTGTGCACACGTGGCTGATCCGGTTCTCGTGCTCCGGCTTGGCCAGCACCACGATACGGATGTTCCAGAGGGTGTGGACGGCGACCTGAGGGTGGTGGGGTCATGCGGGGCTGTGACCTCAGAGGGGATAGCTGTGACCCCAGCCGAGGACCCACCTGAGTGGACCCTGAGCACATGACCCATCACCAAGCCCTGAGCCCAGCATGAGGGTCCTGCCTGTCACCCCGAAACAGTGGGGGGCTCCTTGGGACGCCCCAGAAATGAGATGGAGTACCTTAAAGGGGAGAAGCAGGATGGAGGGATGGCCTCTGTGGTCCCACCAGGGCCAGTTACTTCTACCCCGGGTGCTCGGCCCTTGAGCATGGGCAGCACCGAGGAGCTCTGACGGGGTCTGAGGGTATGTGAAGGTGTGGGAGGGTGTGGAAGAGTGTGTGAGGGTGTGTGAGGGTGTGTGAGAGAGTGTGAGAGTGTGTGAGGGCATCTGGGGATGTCTGAGGGTGTCTGAGGGTGTGGAAGTTTCTGAAGGTATCTGAGGGTGTCTGAGGGTGTGTGAGGGTGTCTGAGGGCATCTGGGGGTTTGTGAGGGTGTTTGAGGGTATGTGAGGGTGTCTTAGGATGTCTGAGGGTATCTGAAGGTGTCGGAGGGTGTGGGAGGTGGGGGGTGTCTGAGGGTATCTGAGTGTGTCTGAGGGTGTTTGAGGGTGTCTGAGGGCATCTGAGGGTGTGTGAGGGTGTGTGAGGGGGTCTGAGGGCATCTGAGAGGGTCTGAGGGTGTCCGAGGGTCCGAGAGATCAGGAGACCCTGCCTTTCTCCCTGTGGGGGTGGGGTCGGGTGCTCCTGGGGTCATTGTGAGCTGGAGATGCCCTGGCAGAGGGGCCCTGCTGAGCCTGGCTGAGCCCGCCCGCATCCCCCATGTACGCACACATCTTGCCGCGCCCGTGGACACACGTCCTGCTTGGTCACGCACACGCGTGCACACGTCCCACTTAGTCACACACACATACACATTCCGCCTGGTCACTCATGCACACACACACAGATGGTTCTACCTGGTTATGCACAGTCCCGCCCGGTCACTCATGCATGCACACATCCTGCCGGTCACTCATGCACACGTCCCTCTGGTCACGCACACAGGCACTGTCCCACTAGTCACACACACACGTGCAGTCCCATCAGGTCATTCACGCACACACACACACACACATCACACAGTCCTCTCCAATAATGCAGGCACATAGCCCACTGATCATGAATACACACACTCACACACAGTTCCACCAGTTACAAACACACAAGCACACGTCCCGTTCAGTCATATGCACACACACACACACACACACACACACACACATACACACATGCATGTCCCGCCTGGTTATATGCACATAGACACACACATACACACATACACACACACACACACACACACACACACACATGCACACACGTCCCGCTGCCAGGTGCACACACAGCCTCACCGTCTTGAAGGTCATGCTGGTGACCTCCTGCAGGGAGTGTCGGAGGGTCTCCAGCCACTCCTTCTCCCCCAGGGGGTCCTCCTGCGTGCCCACCACGTAGATGTCGTGCGGGATGTAGTCGGCAGAGTCGTCCCGGGTCTTGCCCTGCCCCTTGGAGAGAAACCAGGACGTGATCTTCTTGGGGGGAGGCGCGTTACCTTCAACGGCAAAACCCAACACAGTGAGTGACCGGCCGTGGCCTGCGGCTCGCGTCCACGCTGGGGGCTGGGGTCCCACACGAGCTGTCCCACTGGCCTAGGCTCGGGGCTGCCCTGGAGATGCCTGTGGCCGCACCCCCACTGCACTCCCAGGCTGAGGAAACAGTGACCCCCTTGTCAGCGCTGGAGACCCCTCTCCAGCCTCCACTCCCATTCGAAAAAGAAAAATCCAGTAAGTTTCCAATGCAGTAATAACCTGACCATAGCAAGTAACTGCTGTCAACTGGGGATGAATGAAGGGCTGAGCGCAGGCTTTGCGTGCGGGAGGCCCACGTCTGAGCCCCGACACCTCTGGGTCCCCTGAGTACAGCCAGGAGTGACCCCCGACCCCAGCCCGGAGCTGGGAGTAGCCTCTGAGCACTGCTGGGCGTGCCCCTCCAACAACAACAAAACAAAACCCTAATATCAACTAACGAGCAATAAAATACACAATGCCTGAGTCGGGTAATAAGAAAACGGTAAAGACAGGAATGACCTAAGACTCCTGACCCCAGGATGGACAAAAGGTGAGCACCCCAACTTCTGTGCTCTGCCACAGCTCGGGTGGTGCAGATATGTCCTGGGCGGGGGGAGGAGGGTCTCTGTCTGGGGAGCCCCAACTCGCCCAGTGGGGTGGCAAGACCGCAGTCTGCCCTTCCTCTGTACCCAGCAGAGCCCCCTCACCCTGAGGGTGTGCCCGGGGTGCAGATGGCATTGAGTAAGGCGGGCACAGGAAAGTCTGTGCTGTTGCTGAGACCAGGGCTAGGCAGGTGGAGTTGGGGAGGGGCCTCCCCTGGTTTCCCTCCGGGGACCCCTGGTCCCCGCTCTGTTGTGGGCCTGGCCAAGCCCCCCAGACTGATACAGGGAGAGTCCCGCCATTCCCAGATATTGGGGGGCTGCTGGGTGGAGGGGGCAGGACTTCATACACACCAGGGGGGACTTCTAGAAGGACTCCTGGTGAAAAATCTATTTGAAATTCATATTTAGCTGGACATCCTGTATCCACTCACTTTGAACAATTCGGGCTGAAGAGTTAACACGGAACAACGGAACCGATATTTCGTATGTGAATATGGATAAGAGTAGCTATGGAGCATATATTGAGTTCACTGTTCCTTCGGGGTATATTGATCATTTATTTCTAACAGAATATTATACGAAGTAATGTAATTTAAGTTCACTATATCCTTTAGTATATGTATCATTATAGAAATATATAGCATACTTAATCACCATAATAGCGTGTTCGTATGTCTAGATAAATACTGTAGTATTAGGATGGCTTGCCTTTTAGTTGTTTGTTTGGTTGTTGTTTGGGGAGGCACACCTGGTGGTGCTCACAGTTCACTCAGGTGGTTCTTTTCTTTTTTGGGGGAGGGGGTCACACCCGGCAATGCTCAGGGGTCACTCCTGGCTCTGCACTCAGGAATTACCCCTGGCAGTGTTCAGGGGACCCTACGGGATGCTGGGATTTGAACCCGGGTCGGCCGCATGCAAGGCTAACACCCTACCCGCTGTGCTATCGCTCCAGCCCCTCAGTAATTTTTAATTTATTTTTTTGCTCTTTGGGTCACAACCAGCGATGCTCAGGGATTACTCCTGGCTCTGCACTCAGGAATTACTCCTGGCAGTGCTCGGGGGGCCCTATGGGATGCTGGGAATTGAACACAGGTTGGCTGCGTGCAAGGCAAACGCCCTCCCAGCTGTGCTATTGCTCCAGCCCCCACTCAAGTGGTCTTTGGGGAACCAGATGTGGTGCCAGGAATCGAACCTGGGTCGGTTTCAGGCAGGGCAAGCCCCTAACTCCTGCACTATGGTCTCTAAAGCAGGCTCTGCCCGGGAGGGGGTTAGTCCCCGCATAGGGCAGGGTTGCCTGCCGGGCAGAAGGCGGGTGCCCTGAGCCGTCACCCCAGCAGCTCTGGGTCTATCCAGATGCCCCCAGTCGCACATGCTGTCCGAGGCCCAGACCCTCCCGGGGCTTGTTTCTCCCAAGGAGAGGAAAGGGGAGGGGGCCGCGGCCGGGTGGGCGCGGAGACGCACCCATGTTCCAGGTGCCGATGAAGATGGTGATCATGTCGGGTTCGGGCTGCTCCGAGTGCTTGTTCTTCATCTGCTGCAGGAGCTGGCAGAAGCCTTCACGCTTCTAGGAGGGCAGAGGGGGCGGATCAGGGGGGCGCCTGGCACCCAGCACCCACCCTTCCGACAGACACGCTCAGCTTCCGGAATGCACGAAGCAAACCTCCTGTGGGGTCCGGAACCCACCAGGGGGTGTCCCTGCCCATGACCGGCTCCCCTGAGCCGAGGGGCTGCCGAGTGAGGACCCCACCATGTCCCAGACCCGAGCCCGCTGCTATGTCGGAAGGACTAGACACGTGGGAATCCAGAATTATTATTATTATTATTGCTTTTTGGGTCACATCCGGCTATGCTCAGGGGTTATTCCTGGCTCTGCACTCAGGAATTACTCCTGGCGGTGCTTGGATGACCATATGGGATGTTAGGAATCGAACCCGGGTCGATTTGCCCCATGTATGGGGCAAATGCCCTACCCATTGTACTATCACTCCAGCCCCACACAATTCTTTTATTTGTTTGTTTTTTCTTTTTGGGTCACACCCGGTGATGCACAGGGGTTCTTCCTGGCTCTGTACTCAGGAGTTACTCCTGGCAGTGCTCGGGGGACCATATGGGATGCTGGGAATCGAATCCGGGTTGGCAGTGTGCAAGACAAACGCCCTACCCGCTGTGCTATCGCTCCAACCCCACAGAATTCTTAATTCCTCCAAGTTAAGCCCTGCAGAGGCTGAAGCAGCGTTTCCTAATCGGGGTCCAGAGAGCCCAGGATGGGCCCCCAGAATATTCCAGGGGAGGCTAGAGGCAAAAACCGTACAAATAAGGGGGTCACACATGAAAAAAAAGGCATCTGTGGGAACTGCACAGAAACACACAGTGGGTAAAATGTTTGCCGTGTATGCCACCGACCTGGACTAGATCCCAGTCACCTCGCAGGGTCCCAGAGCTGATCCCCCAAGGGCAGAGTTAGGAGCAAGCCCGGGGTACCCCTGGGTGTGGCCCCCAAACAAACCCAAAACATCACAGAATTGGGGCTAAATCTTAGTTTTTTTTGGGGGGGGGGTTCACATCTGGTGATGCACAGGGGTTACTCCTGGCTCTGCACTCAGGAATTACTTCTGGCAGTGCTCAGGGGCCCATATGGGATGTCGGGGATCGAACTCGGGTTGGCTGCGTGCAAGGCAAACGCCCTCCCCGCTGTGCTATTGATCTGGATTGAGGCTAAATCTTAGGACAGGGGAGACCAGAGGAAGAAAATGAGGCGGGAAAGGCTTGAGAAAAACTAGGGTAGAACCCCCCAGGGCCTTGATTTCTGTGCAGAAATAGTGCATCAGTCACCGAGAACAGATGGTCCAGGGCAGGGTGCCTGCACGGGCCCAGCGCTCGCTCTGCACGCAGGGCCCGGGTTCCAGCGCTGACGCCTGGGGTCCCCCAAGCGCCGTCAGAAGCATCCCCTGAGCACAGAGCCAGGAACAGCTCCTGAGCACAGCTGGGGGTGGCCCGAAAAACAGGACGGGGTAGGGGAAGACGATCAAGATAACACGTGTAACTTCTCCCCCCCCCACCCCCTCCCCTGACGAGACCCCCAGCTGCCGTCCACGAACAGCTCTCCCGGCTACTTATCTTGTGCTCTTCATAATCAGCCACAGAAAACAAATGATCTAATGCTGCCTTTTTGGCAGGTCTGATTGCTGGGGGGGAAATTCCAAAAAATAATGGTGGGTCTTTTGTCGAAATATTGAATGTAATTGAGAGAGAGTAAAATGGAAATTATCTGCCACACAGGCAGGGGAGTGGGGGTGGGAGGGGGGTATACTGGGGTTCTTGGTGGTGGAACATGTGCACTGGTGAAGGGATGGGTGTTTGATCATCGCAGGACCGAGACTTAAACCCAAAAGCTTTGTAAACGGTTCTCACGGTGATTCAGTAAAAGAAAGCATGGGGGGGCTGGAGCAATAGCACAGCAGGTAGGGCGCTTGCCTTGCACGCGGCCAACCCGGGTTCAATTCCCAGCATCCCATATGGTCATATGGGCCCCTGAGCACAGAACCAGGAGTAACCCCTGTGCATTAGCGGGTGTGACCCAAAAAGCAAAAAAAAAAAAAAAAAAAGCACTGTAGCACTGTCCTCCGGTTGTTCATTGATTTGCTCGAGCGGGCCCAGTAACGTCTCCATTGTGAGACTTGATGTTACCGTGTTTGGCATATTGAATACGTCACGGGCAGCTCGCCAGGTTTTGCCGTGCGGGCGGGATACTCTTGGTACCTTGCCGGGCTCTCCGAGAGGGGCGGAGGAATCGAACTTGGGTCGGCAGGGCCAGCCGCGTGCAAGGCAAGTGCCCTACCCGCTGTGCTAGCAATAGCAAGGCTGGAGCAATAGAACAGCGGGTAGGGCACTTGCCTTGCACGTGGTTGACACGGGTTCAATTCCTTCATCGCTCTCGGAGAGCCTGGCAAGCTACCGAGAGTATCTCACCCACACGGCAAAGCCTGGCAAGCTCCCCATGATGTATTCGATATGCCAAAGACGGTAACAACAAGTCTCACAATGGAGACGTTACTGTTGTCCGCTCGAGCAAATTCAATAATAAAAAAAAAGATAACACATGTATACACCAATGCGAGGGATCAAACCCAAGGCCTCGTGTGTGCAAAGCATGTGCTCTGGCACTGAGCCGCGCCCAGGGCCCTCTCAGCAGTGCCAGCTGGGCCTCCAGGGAAGAGGCAAGGGTGACGCCGAGGTGTGTGCCCTCCGCTCCCGCTTACTGGGGAGGGTGACCGCAACGCTGAGAGCAAGGACTTAAATCATGGAAAAACGTTTCCGCTGGACGTAGGTAAGAGGGGGCGCCCAAGGCCGCGTCCCGGGACACAGCAGGCGCTCTCTCGGCTGCCAGCCAGAGCAGACCTGGAATTTCGGGTTCCAGGAGAACCCGCCTGGAGCCTGGCATTTCAGGCCCACTGCGATGGCAGGTCCGTTGGATTCAGTCGAGAAACTGCAAACCTTACCCTGCCCGCTCTGAGGGCGTCATGGCCAAACACTGTCTCTTGGGACCAGGGGGTCTCACCTTTAACTGGGCCGCTTCACTGCCCCCCTCTGGGGCCTCTCAGCTTGCTCTGGGTCCCCCTGACCTCCCACCAGCACCCCCTGAATTGTGTCCGTGGGTCCCGGGTCCCAACCTGGGTGGGGGGACGCCATCCCTGTGTCTGAGCTGGGAGCTGGGAGCCCTTGTCCCCTAGGCTTGCACACAATGGTCAGTGGTCACTGATCTGGAGTTCTCTGTGCTCAGGCTGGTGGAAGCCAGCCCCCCCACCCCCACGGACGCAAGGACACGTGTCACCGGCTCGGCTCGCTTACTTTGGAGTCGGCAAAAATGTATTCCTTCCTCAGCGTCTTCTCCTTCTCTGTCTCCACCATGATCACCAGCTTGTTGGGGAGTTTCTGGGACTTGATGAGCTGCAAGACTGGAGAGGAAGGACCATTACTCCCCACCCACACGCACACGACGCCCCTCGGCTGCCCGACGGACGGGGACCCGCGTGAAGACAAGCTGGGGGTGGGGGGGCCTCTCTGCCCAGGGCAGGGGTGGCGGGGCTGGTCTCCACCCTCTCTCCCCTCCTCCTCCCTCCTTCCTTTTCCTTCCAAATCAAATAGAAAATTGATCTCACTCAAGCATTCGCAAGGATGTAACTACGTTTAAAACGTTCACATCTCAGACTGGGGGAGGGCTGGGGGGGGTGAGGGTCCCTGGCCCAGCACCCCAAAAGAAGGCAAAACAAACTTTCACTTCTACCCCAAACTCAACAGTTCTGTTAAACTTTTACAAACAGTGGGGTTTTTCTTTTTTTTTTTCCTTTTTGCTTTTTGGGTCACACCCAGTGATGCACAGGGGTTACTCCTGGCTCTGCACTCAGGAATCACTCCTGGCGGTGCTTGGGAGACCCTATGGGATGCCAGGGATCGAACCCAGGTTGGCCACGTGCAAGGTAAACACACCCTACCCGCTGTGCTATCTCTCCAGCCCCAAAACAGTGGGGTTTTGACGGTTCACAAAGGCCTGACTCTCTCCTGGGGGACCCCGAGTAACCCCTCCCCAATCCTCAGGTCTTGGACCTTGTGCCTCCCACTTTCTGGGGTTTGCTTCAGCGACTCCCACACTGGCTCCCTGCTGGGCACACACGAAGACCCTCCAACCCCCATACCAGTGCCCTTGGGTTTCCCCTGAGCACCCCACACACACACCCGTACTGGGCTGTGCTGACCACAGATCGCTTCTTCCGCATGGCTGTGGTCGGGCCTGGGGGTGTCCTGCTTTTGTACTGGTGCCGGGGACGCCCTGTGGAGTCTGGGGTGATCTTTGGCTCTGAAGCTCTTAGGACCCGTCTTAGGCCTGTGACCTCCCAGTGTGTGCGCCTCAGAGTTGGGGCGTCTGCTCTGCCTCTCCTGTGCGTGAGCCCCAAACCCTGGAATCTATGCCAGTTCTCACCACAGGGCTGTGCGGGTCTTGGGGCCACCTGGGCCTGGGGTCTCCCCCACCAGCCTCCCTCTCCCCCAAGTCCTGCCCCGGGGGTCTCTTGCTTCCTATGGGCTTGGTGATACGGGGCATCAGGGGGCATCTCAGAGATCTGGGACTGACCCCTCGCCTGCCCCCGTGCCCAGCCCAGCCCAGAGTGTCCCCCCACACTCCCTGCCTGTCCATGTGACACCCTGACCTTAAAGGGGCCAGCAGGTCCCTCTAACCTCACAGCAAAGGAGTGGGCTTAAGGGGGTCAGTCAAGATCACGCTCCTGACGGGGGGCAGCTCCCCCAGAACCTCACTCGGCCACGCCCTGACCACACCCAGGGGCCACGCTACTGAGAGGGCCCCCACCCCTGGCTTCCCCAGAGCTGACACTCGGCCAGGCCCTGACCACGCCTCGACCACAGTCGACCACGCCCTAACCACGCCCCACCACAGTAAACCACGCCCCACCACAATCGACCACGCCCCACCACAGTAGACCACGCCCTGACCACAGCCGACCACGCCCCACCACGGTAGACCACGCCCCGACCACGCCCCACCACAATCGACCACGCCCCACCACAGTAGACCACGCCCTGACCACAGCCGACCACGCCCCGACCACGGTAGACCACGCCCCACCACGGTCGACCACGCCCCCACCACGGTAGACCACGCCCCACCACGGTCAACCACGCCCCACCACGGTCGACCACGCCCCCAACACGGTAGACCACGCCCCCACCACGCCCCGCCACAGTCGACCACGCCCCGACCACACCCCCCACCAAGGAGAAGCGACAGCAAAGCACTGACTTTTCTTGTGGCCGTAGAACTTGTCCTCGGAGCCGTCCTTGGACTTCTTGATGATCAGCTTCCCAGACTCCACATCGACCTTGAGCTGCAGTTTCTGAGGGATCCCTAGGGACTCCGCCTTCACCTGGAAGGGAAGTGGGGTGCAGAGATGGGAGGGAGGGAGGGGGAAGGCGGGAGGGACACAGGAGGAGGGGAAGAGGGAGAGAGAGAAGGTGGGGAAAGGGAGGAGGAGGGGGCGGAAGGGAGGGATGGGGGAGGGGAGCGGTGCTGTCAGCCTTGCCTCCTCCATCAGACTCTCATGCCGCCCTGGCTCTTTGGTCTGTGAACAGGGGCCCTCCCGGCTACTCAAGCCTCCAGGCTCACGGTGGGTCTCTGGGCCTCTGTTTCCCTCCCGAGCCAGGGGCCTGGGGCTAATGGGAAGGAGGTTGATGCGGGAGTGGCCCCCAGGGACCCCGCAGAGCTGGCAGAGGCATGAGGCCACCCAAGTGAGCAGGGATTAGCCTCTGGGCAGACCTCCAGGAAGGATCTGGTAACCCGTCTCAGCCCAGGGCTAAAGATCGCTGCTACCCACTGAACAGTATTGACAGTTGCGGGGACAAAGCCGGTCGCCCTCACGTTACGAGGACAGAGATAGGGCTGGAGTGACAGCACAGTGCGGAGGGCACTGGCCTTGCACGCAGCCGACCCGGGCTCGGTCCCCGGCACCCTATATGGTCCCCTGAGCACCACCAGGGGTAATTCCTGCGTGCAGAGCCAAGAGCACTGCCGGGTATAGCCCCAAAAAGGAAAAAAACAACAACAAAAAAACAAAAAAAAACACAACCCCCCAAACGCAGAGGACAGAGATAGATCTTACTGCAGAATTAGCAAAAGGAAACGGAAAAAGAAGCAAAGGCTGCTCAGGACCAGGCACCCCCAAGCCCCCGAACCCCTAACCCCAACAGGACAGAGTGGAACAAAGCGGCCGGGGCTGCAGGCACCCAGAGGACCCGGGCGGCACCTTCTCCCACACTGCCACCCTCAGAATCGGGCAGGGAGGAAGAAGAAAAACTAAATCAGGCCCCCCCCCCCCCCCCCCCGTGTCCAGTGATAGCTTCTCCTTGAGATCACTTCCCACAGATCGGGGCCCTGGTGGGTCCCCCCCAAGTGCGAGGGGCCAGGCTGACAGCATCGCGGGCCCTCGGGGGCTCCCTAGGTTGTCCGGTGCCCGCTCCTCCCAGGGACCTTACCTCGAAGGTGACCGGGGGGATGAGCGAATGCCGGTGGGGTCCCTCGGGGCTCTCGTGCAGCAGAGCCTTGAACTGTGGGTGGAGCACAGCCCCTGAGCATGGCCCCGGCAGGCGGCAGACCCCCCCCCACACACACACCCCTGTATGCCCCATACCTTGTCTTCAATGGAGGACAGCAGGCTGGTCAGCTGGCTGAGCCTGGCCACCATGGTGGCCGGACTGGCTTCCCCGGACGCCTGGGAAAGGAGGGGCAGAGCCACAGGGGTCATCTGTGGTCACTGGTGGTGAGTGACCGGGATCCCCAGTGTGGGCGGGCACAGGACACCAGGGCGGGCACCACCACCCTAAGTGGCCACGGCCCCCACCTGCCCTCAGTCCTCGGCCGTTCCCTCTGCTTCCCTCTGGCTCATCCACCCCAGTGCCGGGCCCAGGGCTGGGGTCTCTCCCCCGGCCCCCGAGTGAGGGGGACCAGACCAGAGCTGTCCTTGAGGCTGGTTGTGTGTCCCCTCCAGCATCCATCAGCTCCATCATCCATCAGCTGCCCTAAGCAACACCTCTTGAGGGTCGCCGAGACCCAGTCCAGTTGGACAGGGGACCCCGGTCACTCGGGTCTCTGTGTGTGCTCCGGCTGAAACAGCCACTGCACCTCGGGGGGGCGGGGCGGGTCCCCTACAGGCTCCTGACCCCACATCGGTTCCTGACCCCACACTGGTTCCCCACCCTGGTTCCTGACCCCTTCCTGGTTCCTGACCCCACACTGGCTCCTGATCACACTGGCTCCACTCCAGAGACCTGGGCCCAGCTGTCCTGTGGGCTGGACAGCTACGCCTGGGAGGCCCCATCCTGCAGTGGACACGGTCCACCCTCCCCCCCACCGCCTTTCCCCCTTAGGGTGAATCCCAGACTGCTTTGTCCACTTCCATGGAGAAAATGGTTGAGTCTGAGGCGGGACAGTGAAGCCCGGGTGGGGTTGAGGATGCCGGCTGCGTGCACCCCGCCTTCCACACGGGTCACATGACCTTTCAGGAGCCCCCAACTACCCCCGCCCACAGCGCTGTGGGAACCCAGGAACCCCCTCCCCAGAGCCCCTGACCCCCTGCTTGCCCATGCAAGGACCCCTGTTCCTTCCTCAGGAGGTGGATATTCCTAAGGAGGGGATCGAACCCAGACCCTCACGCAAGAAAGGACTGAGCCCAGAACCACATCCTCAGCCCCGAAACACTCCTTTGTATATCCTTCCTCATTGGAAAAAAAAAAAAAACCCACGAGATTATTAAACTCAAGCGCCAATAAAAAGACAATATTTGCACACAATACATCAGATAAAGGGTAAATATCCAAGATCTATAAAACACTCACAAAAACCAACAACAAAATTTCCAAAATACGGGCCAAAGCTAGAGTACAGCGGGGAGGGCGTTTGCCTGGCATGTGGCCAACCCGGGTTCGATCCCCGGCATCCCATATGGTCCCCTGGGCACCAGTAGGAGTGATTCCTGAGTGCAGAGCCAGGAGGAAGCTCTGAGCCTCGCTGGATGTGACCCAAAAACAAAGCTAAAAGAATGGGGAGAAGATATGAACCCTTCCCAGAAGAATTCAAACAGCAGCAAACAGGCAGGTGAAAAAGTGCTCACTGTCACTCCTGAAAATGCAGATCAAAACAACAATGAGTTATCTACGCCTGAGGACCACACAGATGAGAAAGTTTGGAAACAATTCGCGCTGGGGATGTCGTGAGAGACAAACCCTTCATCCACCGGTGGAGGGAACGTCGTCCCTTCAGCCTCTATGGGAAGCAGTATGGCGACTCCCCCCAAAGTAGAATCAGAACTCCCACCGGACGACACAGTGACACCACCTGTTGGCTGCCAAATATTCATTCAAAATGACGTCTACACCTCTGTTCATCAAAGCGCTTAGCACGACAGCCAATAATGGAAACAAACCAAATGTCCAACTCCAAGTGAGTGGATCAAGAAATGTGGTCGCAGGGCCAGAGTCATAGTACAGTGGGTAGGGCATTTGCTTTGCAGGCAGCAAACCTGGGTTCAATCCCCAGTAGCCTATATGCCCACCCCCCCAGTACCATCAGGAGTAATTCCTGAGTGAAGAGCCAGGAGTAACCCCTGAGTATCGCCAGGTAAGATTCCCGCCCCCCCCCCCAAAAAAAAAGCCAAAGAAAGAAAGATGGTCTATATACACAATGGAATACTATGCAGCTCTAAAAAGGACAGAATTGTATAATTTGCGGTGACACGGATGGGACTCGAGGAGATCTTTATGAGTGGCATCAGTCAGAAGGAAAGGGACAGATGCAGAACGATTGCTCATACGTGGAACCTAAAGGCATACAGCAAGGGCCAAAGGTGACATAATGGATGAACTGATTCACACCACCGAGTTGGGTGGGAACCTTGGAGAAGGGAGACAGACACACTGGTGATGGGGGTGGCGGTGGAATTCCGTCCACAAGAAACCATCATTACCAATATTGTAAACCACTATGCCTCAATCAATAAAAAGTTTGGCTTTTAAATGGGGTTTTGCCTTGATTATTTGTTGATTTAAAATATGAATCCTAGGACAGGGAGATAGGGCAGTGGTTAGGGCCCCTGCTTGGCACAGGGTTCAATCCCTGGTCCCTTGAGCACTGTGGGGCCAGGCAGCACTGCATCCGCAGGCCTCAGCAGTAGTCGGCAGGACCCCCGGCCTCCAGAGCACCAGCTGGAAGGAATCCACACCCCACCCATTGATTCTTTTTTTTTCTTTTTGGGTCACACCCGGCGATGCTCAAGGGTTATTCCTGGCTCTGCACCTAGGAATTACTCCTGACGATGCTTGGAGGTCCACATGGGATGCTGGGAATCAAACCCGGGTCGGCCGCGTGCAAGGCAAACGCCCTCCCTGCTGTATACTATTGCTCTGATCCCCACAAATTGATTCTTGGGCTAGACCAAACCCCCCTTTTTGTTACCCCTGCAAGACCCTGCCCTGCACTGTAGGGCGCGCTTTCACCGTTCCCTGATGCTCAGAGGTTTACTCATCTGCTCCTGGCGGTGCTTGGGGGACCCCAGGGGGTGCCGGGGATCAAACCCAGGTCGTCCCTATGCAAGGCAAACGCCGTCCCCACTGTCCTATCTCTCTAGCTGGCCCCTTCACTTTTCTCTCTGGTGAGAGGCCAGACCAAGAATGGAAACACCCCCCCTGCCCCACCCCCGCCCACCCCCACCGTTCGCTCCCTTGCAGCTCCTGTGGGGGGGGGGGGTTTAGGGACTGGCCCTGGACGGCCTCTATTCCCATTGGTGAGCCGTGCAGCGTTTTGTTTTGCCCTGAGACGGACGTTTATTAGAATCTTCACACCTGCCTGGGGGGTAGGGGTGGGTGTCTGTCATGTCCAGGGGGCTACGATGGATGCCACCAAGCCAGGTGCTCTTGGTCCAGCAGGAGTGTAAGGTGACCCACTCAATCCCCCTGAAGCATCCCCCCACCCCGCACCGGATCATGGGCTCCCACCCTCCCCGCACCCCAAGCCTTTCTTTACCTGGGGCCGTGGGCGGAGGCCGGGCGACAGCTGCTGGTCGAACAACCTTTGCAGAGACTCCAGGGCGGGCAGGGTCCTGACCACCTCGCTGGGGACAGGCGACAAGGCCAAGGCCAGGCGTTAGGGAGGACAAGCCCAGGCAAAGAGCCCGCTCAGGAGAGCCGCCCTCCCCTCACCCCACATGTCCCTCCCGTCGGGCTCACGGGACCCAGGTCCCGCCGGAACCCGCAGGCAATCGCAGTGTTGACCACAAAACTACGGACCCACCGAGACCTAACGCATTTTCCCAGCTTCCGTTTACAAGAAGCTCCGGCATCAGCCTTTGATTTGAAAATGCTAATTTCTGGGCCCTGCCCGGTCTGGAATCTGCATTTTAAATGCTGGCCCCAGGGGCTTCCTGGGGTGGGGTGGGGGGCTGGGACGCTCAGCCTTGCCCTGGCCCGGAAGTGAGCCCCTCCGAACCCCTCTGACTGCCCAACCTGTGCCCTTTTCCTACTGTTTTTCTACTCTTCCAAGCCTGCTGAGCGGACCACTTTGAATTCTGATTTTTCACTTCGTGCTTCACCAAACACAGCACTTGTTTTTCACATATATTATACTAGTCTGGGAATACTCTTCGAGCTCAAGATCCGGAAGTATTCTTCAAGCACAAGCACCCAGGGGTGCTGCGAGCAACTCCGTGCCCACAGCCGGTGTCAGCAGCTCAGTTCCGGGGTTAGGAGAAGCAGCCCAGGGCCGGAGACCCGACAGACGCTGAGCTGCCCGCTAGGCGCTGTCCGCTGTCCGGGTGACCATTGAGCCCACAGGTCATCTGCATTTCTTTACTCTGCCCTGTCCAGGGTTTTTTTTTTCCCCCTCTCCCCCTGACTCCCACCCCTCCCCCCACACCCGCCCTTCTCCAAACGTTCCTGTCCTCAGTCCGTTTCCTCGGTGGTTTTGTTTGTGATTTCTCACACTGGTTTAAACTCCGCTTCTCATTTAATCTTGGGGGCGGCATTTCCCCTCTACTTTGCTTCTTTCTTCTTCCTAACGGGGCAATATGTCTACTACAAGGGGACTCATATTTGTATTTTAATGCGATGAATATGTATGATTTATCTTGTGCCTTTTTCCAGATTGAGGATGGCTTGAAAATGTCCCGGCTTTTAGGAAAGCAACAGGATGCAACGATTCCCGTATCTCTGCAAAACTCCCAAACTCCAAACTCCAAAACTGTTTGCTGGATGTTAAGTCCTCGATGTTGATTCCTTAGTGGGCTGGAGGGGGACAGGGCAGTGGGGGAGGGCCCCGGCCTTGCAGGCGACCACTCCAGGTTCTGTCCCCCGCAGGCATCCTCTGTAGTCACTCAAGCCCTGCCAGGAGGGAAGTCCTAAGCTCCGCTGGGTGTGGTCCCCAAACAAAAACAAACCAAAAAAAAAGTGATTTATTTGGGGGTTGGGTATTTGGGGAGGCGCAACCTGGTAATACTCAGGGTTTACTCCTGGCTCTGCACTCAGGAGTCACTCCTGGCCGGGCTCAGGAACCGTATTGCATGCTGGGGGCGGGGGTGGGGGGTGGTGGAGGTGTCAGCCCCGTCCAAGGCAGGTGCCCTCCCTGCTGTGCTAAGACGCTGACCCGCTGGGGCTCCCCACAGGCAGAGCCTATGGCCATCCCCTTGAGCTTTCTCTCTGGCCTTCACGGTCACTGTCACTGTCCCTGGAGGACTTGGGCATATGGGATGCCGGGTGTCGAACCCGAGTCTGCTGGGTGTGAGACAGGCACCCTCCCCGCCGGACTGTTTCTCCAGCCCCTGCATCTCTCTTTTTCTGCTTTTCCCTCTCGAGGAGCCTGTGTTCTCTCGTGAACACATCTCCCTCTCTCTCCCTCATGTCGTTCTCAAGTAAATTTCGTTCCATAAAAACTATCTTGCTTTATCAAAAAAGAAAAAAAAGACGTTCTTCATCGAACTTTTTTCCCGAATTTATTTTCACCAATATAAATTTGCTTCCCAACCATTGTTCATTTGCTCCACAATGATTTTGCTTAAATTTTGATGGTTTGGGGACCACTCCTGGTGTTGCCAAGGGCTTACTCCTGGCTCTGTGCTCAGGGATCACTCCTGGCGGGGCTCAGGGGACCCTCTGAGGTGCCGGGGACGGACGAACCAAGATCAGCCACATGGCAGGCAAGTCAAGGTAAGCCACTGTATGATCGTATGATCTCTCTCTCCCTCTCTCTCTCCCTCTCTCTCCCTCCCTCCCCCCTCTCTTTCCCCAATTGAAGTGTAATTGGCATATAGCACTGTGTATTGGAAATACACAACGTGTTGACTGACTATATTTATTTGTTGTAAAAACAAATTGAGGTGCTGGGTAGGGCGGGTAGGGCATTTGCCATGCACGCGGCTGACCAGGGTTCCCAGCATCCCATATGGTCCCCCGAGCACACTGGCAGAAGTAATTCCTGAGTACATGAGCAGGAGTAACTAACCCCTGTGCATTGGCGGATGTGACCCAAAAAGAAAAAAAAGAAAATTGATTCCTTGGAGACAACTTTCTTCCAGAACAAATTACTTCTGGTTCTTTGCTGCATCTCCCAGCTCTGGACCAGTACCCAGCATCCCCGTCAAGTTCGTGTACACTGAATGAGTCCACGTGCTTGGGGGCTGTCTGGATGCTGGCCGTTCTGTGGCAACCAACCAGGAGTGGCCATGGCACCTGTCCGGCTGAGTCCGGTCTGCTCCCCACCTCCATGGTCCGTGCCAGGGCTCACCAAAGGTCTGACTTCCCCTCCAAACCCTGTCCGTTCTGGGGTCGGCTGTGGTTTCAGAGTGGGCTGCAGGGGCCCAGCTGGTCGGGTGGACGCAGCCAGTTTTGTTGTTCATTTCTGCTTCCATCATAGTGGCTCTTGGGGCAGAGAATGGTCACTTCTGCTCGGGCTGGACTCTCCCCCAGCCGCTCCGTGAGCCATGGGTTCTTGCAGTGCTCAGGGGACCATATGGGATGCCGGGGATCGAACCTGGATCGGCCATGTGCAAGGCAAATGCCCTACCCACTGTGCTATCTCTCTGGCCCCTAGGTGTTTTTTTTTGAAGTAGTCACGAGACCCCGCTTTTTCCAGCATCTGTGCTCCGATGGAGTTGTTGCCTGCCCAGGGAACTCTCTAGAGTTGGGGCTTCAAAGCTTTTATTCTTTCCAGGAATGGAAATAAAAACTGATTTTTTTTTTTTTAAGGATTCTGAACCAGGGGCTGGAGCGATAGCACAGCGGGTAGGGTGTTTGCCATGCACGCGGCCAACCCGGGTTCGATCCCTGGCATCCTATACGGTCCCCTGAGCACCGCCAGGAGTAATTCCTGAGTGCAGAGCCAGGAGGAACCCCTGTGCATCGCTGGGTGTGACCCAAAAACAAAATAAATAAATAAATAATAAATAAAGGGTTCTGAACCAGAGAGATATCACAGGGGCCGAGGTTCTATCCCTAATTCTCTCCCTGGCACCCCCCCAAACATGACCAGGAAGGATCCTCAGTACAGCTGGGTGTGATCCGAAGCCCCCAAGTAAATAAAATCAAGCCAGGCTGGTCTTTCTTGTCAGCGACTAGGTGCACTCATCTTTCCTGGTGATGCAGAATCTTAGAAGAGGTTTGGGTATTGCTGTCCGCTTGTTCTGTTAACTCTCTCTTGAGGAGGACTTTTATAAGCCTGGAAAACCATTTTTTCTCTTATATACATTTAGTCTAGATCACACCTCTGTTCCCTGCTTCCTCGCCAGCCCGTGCTAGCAGCTAGACGCTGTCGCAGCCCTTCCAGACTATCAATTTTTCATCACACATCCTTTGCACGTGCTCCCCCGGCCCCCTAGACTTTCTATATATATTTCCCTGACACGGCTCTGTGATTGGATTTTCACATTTGATTGGAAAAAGATGGGTTTATTTTTGCGGAACTCCGGTGAGACAGTGTTTTGAGTTTGGCTGCTTACTTGGGTTCTCAATTAATGTCCTCTCCCACACTTTGCTATTTATTTAATGTTAGTTTTATTGAGGGCAGGATGGGGGGCAAAATTGGCTCTGTACTCAGAATGATGCCTGGCAATGCTCGGGGGGCGCTATGGGGGACTGTGGATTGAGCCCAGGGGTGGCTGCGTACACTCGGAGATGGCCCTAGGACCTACGCTAATGTCCAGCGACATGTCCTTATGCTAAAATAAAAATCTCAAATAATAATGGTGGGTCTGGTGTCAAAATATTGAATGTGATCAAAGGAGAGAGAGGGGACTGTGGAAATCGTCTGCCCCACAGGTAGGGGGGGAGGGTGTGGGATGGGGGTATACTGGGGTCTTTGGGGGTGGAGAATGGGCACTGGTGAAGGTACGGGTGTTTCATTGTATGACCGAGACTTGGACCTGAAAGCTTTGTAACTGCTCTCATGGTGATTCAATAAATAAAATTATAAAAAATGAAAAAAAAAGTAAGGTGGAGTTCATGCACAATTCAGTCAGCTAATCAGTGGCTGAATAAATGGCAGTACTCCTGCATAAAAAAAAAAGTCTTTGTGCTTTCGCTCAGAACCAGCCTGAACTGGGCATTCTGGCTTTGACTCAGTGAAATCTGGTTGCCATGGTCGGCCTATCTCTACGGTCTCTCTCATATGAATGAGCGGGGATGAGTCGTCTGAAAATCAAGAGTTTCTCAGAACTGTCACCTGCAGAGGAATTTAAGTGTGTGTGTTGGAGGACGGCCCCGTGGATGGTTTCCTGGTCTCGGAGTTTCTGGAATTCCGCCCTCTGTTAACCGAGTCCAGGCCCGGCTCTCACTCTCACCCACGAGTGACACAGAAGAGTCTGGAAACCGTCAGTATCCCAGACCCAAACCGGAAGAGGCGGGTTTACAGCAACTCTGCAAAGGGTGGATGCTGGCACAACTAGCGGGCATGCTGGGAAGCTGCTGTCTCGTCAGGTGGGGCAGGCCCCTCCTAGGACATCCAGGGAGCACTTATCAGGGAGCACCCATTAGGGAGCACTCATCAGGGAGCAGCCTAGGGGGCGGGAGGGGCACCTCGGAGAGCCTCACAGCTTCTGAGCATTATTGCAGGACCAAGAGGAAGGGACAAGCCACTGGGGAAGGAAAGCTGGAGACCACCAGGAGATTGTACCTGTGTGTGTGTGTGTGTGTGTGTGTGTGTGTGTGTGTGTACGTGTGTGCATGTGAGTGCTCTCACTAGTGACAAATCATTCGTAACACCAGCATCCAATGGGGAAAAGAACAAATCCTGCCTGGAACTCTCCAGCAAGGGCCACGCTGGGTCTGATGGGCTGGGATTTCGTTAGCTGGAAGCCCATCGCTAAAACGCAACCCGACTGGCCAAATTGGATGTGGGCTGTACTTGTCAAAGAAATTATTTGTCAAATTTCCCAAATAAACTGACTGGGCTTTTAAGAGCCTGTGAGGGAGAAAAATAGTTTAATTTGATTACCGGTAATGGAAAAAAAATTTTTTTTTGCACATTAACTGAGCTGAGATGAACATGGCAGAAATTGACAGCAGGACTTTGAGGCTGCCGTCAGCTGATTCAGTGTAAGGAGAGGATGAAGCCACCGTGGCTGGAAAAATCCCTCGCACACATGAAACGCTCTTTTTCCCAACCCAAATGTTGACCTTTCATTTGTGGCAGGATTGTTTTGGTTCCTTGTGATTTCTTTCAGATGTTTTTTGGATGTTTTTCTTCTCTTTAGTGTTTTTTTTTTCCAGTTTTTTTTTTAAGTATTTCAAATGTTCTTTCTCTCATTTTCCAGTTGGCTTCTCAGCCTTAAGGTAGCGCTTCTAACAATTATGAGTAATTCAACTTGACGCCAGTTTTAACGCTAATTAAGTGAAAACAGAACATCCAGAGGGTCTCAGATCAGGGTTCTTGCCAACTGACGCTAGAGGACGTCCCAAACGTTGGGTCGCTTGACTCACTCTTAGAAACTGTGATCCTGGGGGTTGGGGAGACCTCAAAGGGCTGAGCGGAGGTTTCTCATGCCTGAGGCTGGGTATGATCCTGCCACTGTGCCACGTTGTCTCCCGAGCACTACTGGGAACAACCCCAGAGCACTGAACTGGGGACACTGAGGAGCATCAAACCGGGTGTAACCTCAGAGCACTGTTTTGGGAGCAACCTGGAGCCCTGAGCTGGGCACAACCTCAGAACACTGAGCTGGGAGCAACCCCCCACCCCGAACACTAATCTTGGAGAAACCCCCAGAGCACTGGACGGAGAGCAACCCAAGAGCACCAAACTGGGAGCAACTCCAGAACACTGAGTTGGGAGTGACGCTTGAGCACTGCCAAGTATGGGCTCAAGCCAACTAAAATAAAACCTTTTGGGGCCCTGGGCACCCATGTCACAAACAGGCCGACTCACCCTGGTGCCCTTGTGAGCCGGTTGGATGCAGCTACAGGAAGGAGAGCGGCCACGGAGCATGGAAGGGCCCCGCTGTCCCCACACCCCGACCCACCCCCACCCCCCGTAGCCCCGGGCTCCAACTCAAAAACAGAAAACACCCACAGCGCAGAGAGCACAGGAGCAAGGCTGGAGACCACCAAGAGATGGTGCTCGCTCTCCTCTTTCCTCTCTCTGTCTCTGTCTCTGTCTCTGTCTCTGTCTCTCTCCTCTCCCTCACCTCCTCTCTGTCTCTCCCCTTCTTTCTTCCTCCCTCTCCCCCTCTCCTCTATTTTCTCTCTCCCTCTTTTCTCTCTCTCTCCCTCTCCTGTCTCTCCCTCTCTCCTCTCTTTCATCTCCCTTCTCTCTCTCCCTCTCTCCTTCTCTCTGTGTCCCTTTCTTCCTCCCTCTCCTCTAACTCTCTCTCTCCCTTCTCTCTCTCCCTCTCTCTCTCCTCTCTCCCTCTCTCCTCTCTCTTTCATCTCCCTTTTCTCTCTCTCACCCCCTCCTCTCTCCTCCCTTCTCTCTCCCTCTCTTCCTCTCTCTCCCTCTCCCTCTCACCCTCGCTCCCTCTCTCTCTCTCTCTCTCCCTCCTCTCTCCCTCTCTCCCTTCCCTAACTCTCCCACTCTCCCTCTCTCCTTCTCTCTCTGTCCCTCTCTCCCTCCCTCTCCTTCTCTCTCTCTCTCTCCCCCCCCACACCCCCCACTAAGGGGCCCTTATCCCTAGCAGGCAGAGCTTCTGCCGCAAGGGCAGGGGCAGGGGCGTGGCCCAGCCCATGTGGGGGGTGCAGGTGCCCGCCCGCTGCCCATGGTACCCGTGGAGGTCCCTGCAGAGGTGCAGCACGAGCTTCTGCAGCTGGGGGGCGCCACCCACGCCGGTCTGCACCGCGTCCGCGTCCAGGGCCAGCTGGGTGCTCAGGTAGTCCTGGATGGCTCTCAGCTGCTCCTCGGAGAGTCTGCGCAGAGAGACACTGGTTGACGGGTCCCGGCCACACAGTCACAGCAGCGAGAAGTCGGGCGAGGGCACACCCTGCATCCCAGCCCCAGGCCCGCGCGGGGTGCCAGGGTCCGGCAGGGGGAGGACCCCGGCTGCCTCCGCCACCCCCCCCCCCGGCTTTCTTTCCCCCGGTGGGGGCTGGGGCCTGGCAGCTGGGTGAGCACCCCGTGGAGGGGGCTCTGCCTCCCCCTGCCACCACCCCCAGCTCCTGAACCCAGCATGAAGGGGAAGGCAGTGGCCCAAGTTCGGAGCTCTGGGACCTGCAGCGCCAGGGGAATGGGTCGGAGTCTCCCTAGCTCTGGGATGGGGGCTCGTAGGTGCTGGTCTAGGCAGGGCCCACCCCCGGCTCAGGCTGCCAGTGTCCCCATGAACGCCTGGCGGGTCTCTGCTCTGTCACCTGGCCCTGGCCGGTCTCTGTGGTCACCCAGCCTGGACAGGCTCTGCCCCGTCACCCGGCCCTGGCGGGTGTCTGCCCTGTCACCCCGCATCTGTTTCTTTTCTGGGCCACGTTAGCATTTTTGTCCTTCTGGTCATGAAAGCTCCTCCCGGAGGGTCCCCGTGTCCCCACAAGACGTCAGGGGTGTGCTGGGCCCAACCAGCCACCGCAGGCGGAGCCCCAGGAGGAGCCTGGGGGTGGAGGAGAATCTGCCCATCACAATGGCACCCTCGGGTGCTCCCCGCCAAGCTGGCCTTCCGCTCCCAGCTGGGTCCGCTCCGCGGGGCAGGAAGGGGCAGGGCAGCGGAGCCCGCGGCCTGGCGGGTCTGTGCGGACCTGGTCCGAGGGGCACGTCGGGGTCGGGACTCACCCGCTGGTGTCCGTGGTCTGCAGGCGTTGCAGCAGCGTCTCCGACAGGGTCGGCCGCCCCGCCTCGACCGTGCGCGCGCCCTCCACGGCCACGGGTGGCTCCTTGACCTCTGGTGGCCCGGCGGCCGGGGGGATGTTCCTGGGCGGCAGCTCGGGCGGGCACAGGACACCCTCTAGCCGGGGAGAGCAGGAACGTCGCCCAGGGCAGCGCCTCCGGGCAGGGCCCAGAGCAGCTGGGGACCTGGTCTCCCCTGCCAGCCACCAGCCTCTTGGCCCCGCCGCTCGTGAGGGCTTTCTGACACGGCAGGGTGTGCGTGTGCATGCGTGTGTGTGTGTTCATGTGCGTGTGCATGTATGTGCATGTGCATGTATGTGCATGTGCATGTGTGTGCATGCGTCTGTGTGCATATGTGTGCATGCGTGTGCGTGTGTATGCATATGTGTGTGCGCACATGCCTGTGTGTGCACGCGTGTGCTCATGTATGTGAATGTGTGCATATGCATGTGTGCACACATGTATATGTGCGCATGTGTATGCACGCATGTGTGTGAATGTAGGTGCATGCATATGTGTGCATGTGTGTATATGTGCTATCACACGTGTGTGTGCATGCATGTGTGTGTTTGTGTGTGTCTACATGTGTGCATGTGTGTGCGTGTGTGTATATGTGCGCTCGCATGTGTGTGCACATGTATGTGTGTTCGTGTGTGTCTACATGTGTGTGCATGTATGTGTGTGTCTACATGTGTGTGCGTGCATGTGTCTATATGTGCTCTCACATGTGTGTGCATGTATGTGTGTTCGTGTGTGTCTACATGTGCGTGCATGTATGTGCGTGTGTGTCTACATGTGTGCGTGCATGCGTGTGCATGAGTGTATATGTGTGCTTGCATGTGTGTGCACATGTATGTGTGTGTTTGTGTGTCTACATGTGTGCGTGAATGTGTGTGCCTGTGTGCGCATGCATATCTGTGCGCATGTCTGTGCATGTGTGCATGTGCGTGTGCGTGTGTGTGTGTGTGTGCGTGTGCACACAGGGGTGGTGCCCATTTGTGGATGAGGGCTGCAGTCCCGGGCTGGGGCGGACACTGGGAGGAAGGGGGAGGAGGAGGGGCAGGCAGCACGGTTGGGGGAGGGGGCGTGTCTCGGGGCCCTCCGCTGCCCTCCGCCCCCTGGTCTCCGCATCCCCTGTGCTCCCCAGGCTGAGGCTGTGCTTTTGCTCCTTTCCCGCCTTTTGCCAGGGCTGGGAGCAAAGTCACACACGCAAGGCCGCAAGGAGGCACAGCTCCACCCCTGAGCCCGCCCCAGGCCCCCTCCTGCCCTTCGCTGGGGGTGGGCGGTGCACCCGCTCTCTGCCGGGCTCCTCCCGGCCACGCTGGGGAGCACTTCATTGGGCCCAGGGTTTGGACCCAGGCCCCTGCATGTAAAGGCTGCACTTGGACCCCTCAACCCTCCTTCCGACTCCCCTCTTCACCCTCTTTTATTTTATTTTAAAATTGTATTTATTTACTGGCCTTTGGGCCCCACTCAGAGATGTTCAGGGCTTACTCCTGGCTCTGTGCTCACGGATCACTCCCGGCGGGGCTCGGGGGACCATATGGGGTGCTGGGGATCTAACCCGGGCCGGATGCAAGGTGAGCATTCTGCTACTGTCCTGTCATGCCGGCCCATCTTCCCCCCTTTTAGGTGACGACACATAGAAGCATTGGCTCTTGCAGGCCTTCTCGTCAACCTTTTGACGGTGGCGGTAGCCACGTTTATGGATCACCCGGCGGGTACCCCCCCCCACCCGCTCTGCCTCTGTGAGCTCACTGGACGCCATCCTGAGCGAGACACTGACCAGCGCCTCCTGCAGAGACGTCGCCAGGGATTCAGAGGGGTGATGCCCTTTACCCATGGTCCAGCCCCCGCACCCCCGTCCTCTCCACCTGTCCCGCGGCCTCGGCCCGAACCCCCACCTGGCTCCTCCTCCAGCTCTTCCCCGCCTTCCTCCTCCTCCTGCGGCACCGGGTACTGCAGGTGCGTCACCAGGCCCATGTTCTCCTTCCGGTAGAACTCGATGAGCTGGTCCAGCTTGGTGAAGAGCCTCATGGGGACACCCTCGGACGCCTGAGGACAGAGCGCAGGACGGATGGCGTTGGCGCTGCGGGCTTGGTGGCCACCGTCGGAACCAGGAAGCACAGGGGATGCTGAGGGACCCGCTCCCCGGAAAGCCCCGTGTCCACGTCTGTCTGCCAGCGCCAACCGCCGCCTATCAAGCCAGCGGCCCCAGCTGAGCCACAGGGGCCCGCAAGGCAGCCGGAGTTTCTCATAGTTAAGAAACAAAAACAACACTGATTTCGGGGCTGGAGTGATAGCACAGCGGGTAGGGCGTTTGCCTTGCACGCGGCTGACCTGGGTTTGATTCCCAGCATCCCATAGGGTCCCCTGAGCACCGCCAGGAGTAATTCCTGAGTGCAGAGCCAGAAGTAACCCCTGAGCATCGCCAGGTGTGACCCAAAAAGAAAAAAAAAACACTGATTTCTGGACTGGAGCAATAACAGTACAGTGGATAAGATGACCCGGGTTTGATCCCTGACGTCCCATATGGTCCCCCCAACACTGCCAGGAGTAAGCCCTGAGCATCGCCAGGTGTGGTCCCCAAACACAAACAAACAACCCGACTGTTTAAGCAAGGCTCCTCATAATGGCACCATTTCATAACGGCAAAACGCAATTTTTGAGAAAAGAAGTCACGGGGATATGGCGCTGCCAGCAGGTGAATCTGCACCCACAGGGCAAGTGCATCGGCAGCCTGATGGTGCCTTCAGGCTTCCCGATAGCCCCAAATTGCTGCTGTGCTTCTGGCTAAACTCCAACAATTCAGAAGCAGGTTTCCCGAGAAATTAAACAGCCAGAAGTTAGGTCTGTGGGAGCCACACCCACAAACTACCTCCAGCTCAGTTGTAAAAGCTCATTTATCAGCCTGGCTTCAGAGACCCCGGCAAGCTACCGAGAGTATTCGATATGCCAGACACAGTAACAACAAAGTCTCCAATGGAGACGTTACTGGGCCCGCTCGAGCAAATAAATCTCGAAAGAGATCAAAAGCCACAGTTAATCCCGGACCAGTGCAGGGCTGAACAGACTGGGGTCATTGGGAGAGGGCGGGTCAGTCTGGTGCCCGCCCAAGCAGAGCCCCTGTCAGAGTCGCTTGCTTCCACAATCCAAAATTGTTGAAATACCCCCAGCCTGACTCCACTGTCTCAGAAAGGACCTCATCCCAGCATCATCTGCTGAAAATTCGGGCATGTGGATTTTGTGACTGAAATCTCCAGGCTTTCCAGGGTCGGGCTGGGCTACCTGCCCCATCTCCCTGTACTTTTGGAAGCCTCAGTAGACACATCCAAAGCTGCTATCCAGTAAAGAACTACTGTAGTTTTACCTTCCCAATACAAATACTGAACACCCTGAACAAACACAGTGATCTCTTGGTACCTGTATTGCAAACCATAATGCACAAAAGGAGAGAGACAGAGACAGAGGCAGAGACAGAGACAGACAGAAACAGAGAGGCAGAGAGAGACAGAGAGGCAGAGAGGGGAGAGGGAGAGGAAGGGAAGAGGAGGAAGAGAAAGAGAGAGAGAGAGAGAGAGAGAGAGGGAGGAGCGGTGGGAGAATGTTGAGGGGCGGTGGGAGGAAGATGGGGACATTGGTGGTGGCTTGCATTGGTGGAGGGATGAGTGTTGGATCATTGTGTGACTGAAACCCAATCCTGCATAGTTCTGTAATGGTCGATCTCATTGATATTCAATATTAACAATTAAGAATCACCTGCAGCCCTGCCCACCCCATTCTTTCTCACACACAATTTCCAGTGGCTGAGAATGTCTTTCTGCAGTGTGTGCATGCTTGGCAGAAGGACTTACTTTTATCATTTCTTCCACCAAAGATGATCGAGCTTTATTTTATTTTGTTTTGTCAGGTGAGCGGATGGGGGAGGGGCGCAGACATGGGGAGAGAGCAGACCCCACAGCAGCCTTGAGGGCCTGGGCCTGCTTGATGACCCCGAGATGACCGTTTCCCTTCAGCTGGACACGCCTCTGACCTCTCTGACTCAGCTGGGCATCTCAGTGCCTGTCTTCTGCTCCTCTGTGTGACCATTCTTCTCAAGGCATGCACGTACCCACGGACACTGCACACATGTGCCTATCTGTGTGTGTGTGTGTGTGTGTGTGTGTTGGAGCATGTGGCTTAAGGAATTGAGTCAGTTGGTTGTTAACAAAATGATTTCGAAGTAAACTCCCCTCGGTAAATCTCCTTGTTTTGAGCAAGGCCACTTGGTCCCTCTCTCTCCAGCCTCCGGGAACCGGCGTGGAAAATGACCCCAACGGTCCCGAAGCCGAAGTTTGCAGAATAACAAAACAAAACAAAACAAAACAAAAAAACAGAACAATGTGGTCACAACAATAGTTGCCAGTGCTCGAGCCAGCACGGCGTTGACAAGTGTCAGTCCATCAAGAGTTTGCAGCCAGGGAGACAGCCAAGCGGGTCCAAGGAGGAAGGAGGAGTGGGGACCAGGCGTGCAGGGGCTGTGGGCGGGCTGAGGGGCAGCAAGGCGCCATGGGGCCCCATGCTGCAACCCCGTTCATTTGTGTCCCCCCACGAGCCCGGAGGATACCACAGGGTTCCACACCCTCTGGAGGTCCCTCTCCAGAGACGTTAAACGTGCAAAACGTGCTTTTCAACGCAAGGCATGCCTTCAACCCACACCCAAGCATACACACATGCACAACACACATGCATGCATACATACATGCAAATGCACACGTATACACACACGTACAACCTCGCACAGGTATGCACACACACATATATGCAAATGAACACCTATACACATGCACATGCAATCTCACACACACATGCACACATACCTACACATATAGACATGTACATACATGCACATATATGCACACACACATACACACATGCACACATGAGCACATATGTGCACATACACACATATGCACACATTGCTCATTGGTATACACATACACACCCAAGTGGAAGAGACCTTTAGTGCTGGGATGTGGCCTGCCAGCTGGGCTCCCCAGCAGACGTTCTCAGGGCACCAGTATCCCCGGGAGACATCGCCCCCAGGGTCCTGGTGTCCAGGAGGGCTGGGCTCCAGATCTGGAAGTCTGGGGCGTGCCCTTGGGGGGGAGAAGCGGGTGCCGGGCAGGCTGAGCTGTCCAGGTCAGCCATCTGCCGCCCCGAATGGGGAACCGAGAGAGGCTCTCTCTGGGTGCAGGAGGAAGCTGGGTGTCACCCCCCACCCCCCAGGCTCGGCCAGTCTCCCTGCGGCCTGCACGAGACGGGAAAGTAAGAGGGGTTGGGGGGAGTCCCAGCTCAGAGCCCCCAAAGCATCTGTGGGCAGGTATCCCCAATACGCAGGCTCTTCCCAAGATGGTCACGGTACATCCTCGGTCTCCGGAACTCAGGCCAGACCCACTGGCCTGGTCACCCCGACCTCCTGGACCCAGACCCTGCAGCCCCGACATGGCTGGGACAGCTCTTTATCAGGCCAGTGGACACCCAGAGGCCAGGAGGTCCCAAACACCTTTTCCTTGTCACCTGAGGCCCGACTCCCCCTCAGGACCCCGGCCCCTTGGACGTGACTGAGACCAGGGTGGGCCCTGACCACGCCCATGCAGCTGACGGAGCTAAATTGGGTGATTGGTCTAGTCAGTGGGATGGGAGTGTGTTCCTGGTACTAGGCCCGGACCCGGTTCAGGGCAGTGACCCCACTGGATCACAGCCAGCTGACAGTGTGATGGGCTGTGTTCGGGGGGAGCAGGGGTGACACCATGTTGTTGTTCATCATTCCATTTTTGGGGGGAGGTTGGGAAGTTGGGGTGGCCTTGGTGGAGGTGGGGGGGCTGGGTCAGCCCCGGCCCCAGAATCCTCCGCCCCCTCCCGGATCAGGGCCTTAGTAAGCCTCAAGGCGGTCGTGAGGTTGGGGCAGGGAGGGGTGGCGTGGACCCCCGTGTTCTGGAAGGTTCCTTCTTGCACCCCTCACCCCGCCAGCCTCAAAGCTGCTTCTCTCCAGAAAAGTGCTCTGAGCCCCCTTGGCCCCCCCCTAGAGCCTGCTGTCCGCCCCCCTCCCCAGTGCAGACAGGGGAGCAGAGCTCAGGATTCTTGGCCGCAGTGCTCGAGGTCCTGGGGAGGATGAAAGTGGGAGTTCCAGCTGGGCCCCAGCTGCGCAGGGGGTGGTGGTGGGGGGCAGGATGCCGCATACCAGGGGTGCAGGGAGCAGCAGGGGTGAGGAGAGATCTCCTGCGGCCCCTCGAGATGAAAGCAGAGGGGAGGAAGGCAGGCGTGGGAAAGCTCTGGAAGCCCATTGCAGACCCAGGCACCCCGGGAGCCCGGGACAAGTTCCCTGAAAAGCCAGCAGCAACCTGTCAGATGCGAGAGTTATTGCTGTGCATGTGAGAAGCCCTGGGTTCGATCCCATACCCCCAAACACACACACACACACACACATGCAAATGCACACAAAGATACACATGCACACATACACACACAACCTCACACACATAAGCACAGACACACACATATATACACATACACATGCATTTATGCATACACATACACAGACACACAGACACACACATGCACACACATAGACACACACGTGTGCACAAACCCACCCACCCCGAGCAGCCAGTGTTTCCCTTTTCCTCTCTCGTCTCCCACGCGTGTTCCCCCGCTGGCCTCCTCTCCTGCTTCTGCTCTGAAGCAGCCAGGCCGGTGGGGCTCTGGGGCTGGGCTCCGGGCGGGTCAGCAGACAGAGGAGACCGCCAGTCATGGTGAAGGTCAGGGCCTTAGAGGCGAGGAGGGGTCCCCAGGGCAGGGAAGACCTAGGACGCAGGTGCAGACAGGCTGGCAGGTGCTGTCTGGGCCTGGGGAGGGGCAGGGGTGTGGGTTTGACTGTGGACACGCAGTGGGTGTGAGTATGTGTACACAGACACCCCCAGTTGTCTGCTGAGAGAGCCCGCCCGGATGCCAACACCCACTGTGCAGGGAGCACCCCAGCTCAGGGGCTGGGTGCTAAGTCCACGACTTGATGG